GCATAGCAACAGTATCTAAACGCATGTGATAAAAGAACCAAAAATGGACGTTTGGTCCCTTGGAGGAGAAAGGACATTGCAATGGAGGAATGGCAGGAGGTCATAAAGTACAGGACACCACATACCTGTAGATCTATGTTATATTGTACATATACATGGTATTCGCAACAACATGTACATGACATTTACTACTAGAGTTCAAAGTATATCCTCTTTCTATTACCATGTACTACCTCTACTTATATACCTCACTACCTCTACTTATTGCACATACCATGGGAGGACATCCTGAGCTGCTTACATGTGTGAGCTCCTGCTTTTTTTTTTTTTTTTTTTTTTTTTTTTTTTTTTTTTGGCCGAATATTGGTCCGGCAACTGCCGGACCTGCCGGACCGCCTGCTACGGCCCTGCGATACATGGCAGTAGTTGAAACAGCAGCCACAGAAGCAGCAGCAGCAACAGCAGCACTACCAGCAGCAGCAGCAACAGCAGCACTACCAGCAGCAGCAGCACCACCACCACCGGAAGCAGCAGCAGCCACAGCAGCCACAGTCGCAGCAGCAGCACCACCAGCCGCTACATCAGCACAGCAGTAACACAGAGGCAACACGGAAAGAGAAGCAGCAGGCTTACTTGAGCAATGTGTCTTGTTCAGTTGCCCGTATCCCGCACTGCACTGGCATAAGAATGAACCCATGGTATCGCGGCACACAGCACGACTGCCACAGTTGGCCATGCCCAGGCTGCATTCATCGACATCTGCAGCAACATGCACACCAGGATGGCAATGATGTGTGAACAATTCAAACACGCACGCACGCACGCACACACACACACACACACACACACACACACACGAAGATCAGGACTGCATGTGTGAACAATTCACATTACACCATGCACTATCATTGTTGGCCAGCCATCTTTATCCCAGGCCATGTTATCAATGTTTGGTTAAGAATTGATCTGATGCCACGGCCACCGGGGAATAAAAGCAACAGGGGCATCGGACACACTATGGTCACTTCAGTATTGACCGTATCAACCTTTGCCCCAGTCATCCCATGAATCAATAAAAATGCACGAATGCGGGCTCTAAATTTCGAAAACCTTTCAGAGGAGCCACCCCAACCCGACGAGTACATTGTGCTTCACGAGTCTGACCGCACCGCCCTAAGATAACTTCCGACGTCCCTGAAAACTCAGCACACAACATGCTGCACTGTGGAGCAGGTATCCACAGCAAGTCCACAAATTCACCTGTCAAGAGCTGAAAACAGTGCACACACTTTGTCATTGATTGCAACCGCCAGAAGTATGCACATTCTACACACGGGTGACAGACGGCAAGCTTCACGGATCATGCGTGAATAGTTTTAAAAGCCTGCATGGCTGCTGTGAGTACTGACTTGAGCAAGTGCGTACGCCATCACCACTGAAGCCATCTCCGCACACGCACACAAACGATCCAGGAATGTCCATGCAGCTGGCCTGGCGGTGGCATCTCTGTCTGCCCCGGGCACCAGAGCACTCATCGATATCTGGAGAGAGAGAGAGAGAGAGAGAGAGAGAGAGAGAGAGAGAGAGAGAGAGAGAGAGAGAGAGGCAGAGAGGAAGAGAGGGGGGGGGGGGAGAGAGAGAGAGACAGAGAGACAGAGACAGAGAGAGAGAGAGAGAGAGAGAGAGAGAGAGAGAGAGAGAGAGAGAGAGAGAAAGAGAGAGGAGAGAGAGAGAGAGAGAGAGGGGCAGCCAAGCGGACAAGCGAATCCTATCAGAAAATCTGCAAAACATGAATTTTGTATATCAATTGAAGTGCCTCCTTTTAAAATCCGTTCTCAACAGAGTAAGGTTGATTAGACGAGTGAAAGGCATAATGCAAAGCAGTCATGTGCATGTGCACCTCCCTACCTTACTCCCTAGAACTGAGCGATACTATTCAAATGGATGGTCATGATATGACCATCCATTTGAATTATACGGTATTATGGTAGTGGAAAATTGCTGCATGCCCGAGTATGCAGGAAAGATGTCTTTGGACATGTTTGCACTTGCTAGAATCGGTTACTCCTTGCCGGCCAGCGGAAAGCCATCGCGTGCAATTGCCCGTTTACTTTGGCAATATGTACTACCGTCTTACTTTGGCAATACGTGGTATTGTGGCGTGCGAATCCCGGTCGACAGCTACAGCTGAATGAACCCTCGGTGTCCCTGCACCTTGTACTCTCCTGGTCACAGCTGGATAGGCCACTGCCAACAGCACACTCATTGATATCTAGAATTAAAACAAACAATAGGAGGACAGAGAAAGTGTTTTTACTCCGAGTTTCACGCACTAAGCGATCATCAGAAAACAAATATCTAGATACAGTATCTAGATATCTAGAATTAGGTAAAACACTGCACAAAGGAAAATTTCAAAACGGTGGGCTAACTGATCAACAGCACGGTACACGATTGGTTTAGTAATCAACCGTGGACAATCTTTGTTGGGCTGAACATATTTTATTAAAGGGGAAGTTAAGGCAAAAATTAAAATTTCACCAGTTGTAGTCATCGGGGTGCTGAGTCGAATGGTCGTGGTCCAAGGAAGCTGAGACGCTCCCTTCCAACTTGAATCCCAATCGAACTCGCGCACTTCCACCGAAACTGGGTGACTGCGCCCTACTAGATGGGGATTTGTATGCAAAATGTCACTAAAAGCGCCATTTCGTTCTTATAAAAGCATGGATGACCGCGATTGGCCCATATGTTGTAGTCTCTTGGACGCTGAGTCGATTGGTTTTGGTCCGAAAAGGCTGCGATGCAGCGTTCCTCCTTTATTCCCAATCGAACATGGTTGAACAAGCGGTCACGTGCTCCTGCGTACGCCAGTCACCTGGTCACCGTGCCTGCAGGGTACAACTTACTAGCCTGTTTGACCTTTTTTGGGTGCAGTCCTGTCACTCGAGTTGAACCTAGGTGTGAAAGTTGTCGCCTGCTGGCGTGGTGACCAGGTGATTTGGGCACCCAGGAGCACGTGACCGCTTGTTCAACCATGTTCGATTGGGAATAAAGGAGGAACGCTGCATCGAAGCCTTTTCGGACCAAAACCAGTCGACTCAGCGTCCAAAAGACTACAACATATGGGCCAATCGCGGTCATCCGTGCTTTTATAAGAACGAAACGGCGCTTTCAGTGACATTTTGCATACAAATCCCCATCTAGTAGGGCGCAGTCACCCAGTTTCGGTGGAAGTGCGCGAGTTCGATTGGGATTCAAGTAGGAAGGGAGCGTCTCAGCTTTCTCGGACCAAGACCATTCGACTCAGCACCCCGAAGACTACAACTGGTGAAATTTTAATTTTTGCTTTAACTTCCCCTTTAAGAGGGTATTGCAAGTGTTGTGTGCTGTTTTGTGCACACGAGACTGTCACATGGATGTGAACACACGGCACTGCACGGCGCTGCTACTCATACAGTCACAAGGGTGCTGCGCTTGATTTGCCATGGTTACCGTAGTTACAGTGGCATATAGGCTGACTTGGTTCTGGGCTTGAACTACATCTAGTCTATAGTTACCGGCAGGGTCCAAGGCTAACTGGCTCAGAGCATACCCGGGAACGAGGACACTCTGCCAGTTTTGATGCAACACTCGGTTTCACTACTGTGCGGGGCTGATACCCGGCCGGGGTGTAGAGTCTAGATATAAAGGAACCAGGTATTGAATGCACCCTGTGCTACTCCCCTGAAGTTTGTATGAAGCTGGCTCAATTATAAATACAGCTGGCGGGGAATGCTTGTAAATCACTTTCCCACAGCAGTGAATGATGATACTTCCCCAGAGTATACAGAATCAGCTTTGGGTAGAGCCACACAATTCTTCATGCAGCACTCTACACAAGCTTTATGCATGGGTGCAGTGCATTGGGTGCTGCACGTGCCACTTAACCATTTCACCAGTGCTCTACAGCAGTACACTTAATGTACCTCAAACAGTGAGTGGCCCACACACAGTGCTGCTTAATGAAATTCGGTCACGCCACTCAAGTACACGCTGGGCGTTGTGCAGCCCTAGACATGCAAACACTGGGGCTGCAAAACGGTACAAGGCGCAAACCTGACTCACGCGAACGGACTTCATCAAGCAGCACCGTAGAAGTAAGGTACTGGCCAGAGAAATCCAACTTCATGAATAAAATAGCGCCGGGCGCTACGCATCCTTAGCACTACATACACTTTTCTGTGCACTCGAACGCGGCGCTACTATATTCATGAGGTCAAATTTCTCTGGCCAGAACTGTAGTACAAATACGCACAAGAGCAGCATCAATCACCTACAATCACCTACTGGCACAGTCGCGGTCTCCATCACCCGTGTAACCACTCTGGCAGACGCACATTGCCGAGCCCGGCGTGTCCACACAGTCAGCGTACCTATGGCAACGTCTTATCCTGCGTCGGCATTCGTCGATATCTGCCGGGACAATTGGTCGCCATGCAAAACATCAGCAGACAAAGCAGTGGCCACAATTGCTGCAATTCTCGTGACAACATCAGCCGCTCGAAGATATAGCCAATGTGCATCCAATTAAGAACACTGTGCACTATTGCAGTACTCGTAAACATCAAAAAAGAAAGAAAAAAAGCTAGGTGGTAGTGCTTCCATTGAATCGATACATCCTTATCAAAATAGACAGCTGTAAATTATTCATTAGTTTGAAGGAGTTGCAGCTGATTTGTTCATCAGTCAATGTCACTTACAGTGTAGTGGTGTGACCATGGTAACACCACTAACAGTACACACATGACTAATAGATGCACAGGTACGTCTGGGTCAGAGTAACATTATGATCACTTCCTCCGGAAACAAAACTTTGTGATTTTCATCCATCTGGCAGTTCTGGTGAATTGAGCTCTGAGGAATCGAGTGGCGATGACTCTGGGGAAGACTGAAACGGTGCCAACGTCTTCCATAGAGTAGCGTACCCTGTTGAAAGGAAGTGTATCCACTCAGAAACTAACTCTTTAGAATGGGAATGAAGCATTGAAAAGGGTTTTTTTGTTTTGTTTCTGGAGCTGGAACTACAGTAAAATCTGGTGTAAGCGACCTTTGGGTTTAGCGATCACCTGCTCTTAGCGACCGTTTTTCCATGCACCGACAGATCAACACAGACACCGTGGGACCTGGTTCTAAAGACCACCTGGTTTTAACGACCGCTTTTGCTTGCACCATGGGGTGGTCGCTTAAACCAGGTTTTACTGTACGGTGAACATGGCATATCAGTTGATGGTGCTAACGCATCTGATTCTTGTCTATTTTTATTGCAGGGGCTAATTTTACTATCTAATCCAGCCGCCGCGGCAGGTACAGGTGAACACAGGCAGCTGCAGCTAGTGATGATGTCACTCACTTTGACAATGTGTGCGGTTCAATCTGGAGTACCCTGACAGGCAGGTACAGTCAAATCCTCCTGGCGAGTCCCTGCACGCTGTGCTCTGTGCATCGCAGTTGTCCGCGCCATTAGCGCATTCGTCCTGATCTACCGTGATCAAACAGTAAAAAATATGCAGCAAGTACGGCACACACATATTCACTGAGGGGACAAAATCGGGTGAGGAGTAGGTGGAGACCAGGTAGCCATGTGTGTTCGTATCCTCCCAGCAGAGTCAGGGGCTAACTGGGACGTTCCTGGGTGATCTAGTTACCGGATGTGTGTCAGTCTAAAGTCAATGTCAAGTGACAAGAAGCCACACGTTTCAAGCATGAAAACTGAGGAAATGTGCACTGTCGTTGGAAGGCGGCCAGGCCGGGGAGGAAGGGAGGGAGGGAAGCCCAGAGGGGGAAGCCAGAGAAAGCAAGCCAGGGGGAGGGAGGCCCGGGGATGGAAGCCAGGGGGATGGAAGCTCGGGGGGGGGGGGAGTCAGGATAAGGAAGCCATACAGTGGAGGGAGGTAGATTAAGGGAGGGGCACCTCTACCACCAAGTCCTACCATCAGAAGCAGTGACTCAGAGTAATTATACTAGTAGAGTGGGTACTACAGTGCTGGTCGATGAAATCCGATTTCGTGAGTCAAGTTTGCGCTCTACATCAGTTCACCATGCCAGTGCTGTCAGATCTACATGTACATTATAGGGCTGCACAGCGCTCAGCATGGCGTGTAGTCTAGGGCTGCACAGCGCTCAGCATGGCATTGACTCAACTGATCGGATTTCACTGAGCAGCCCTGTGGTACTAGTTCGGCAGGATTGCAATGCAAATCAACTTTGGTTGGTTCAGAATAACACCCTTACTGCCACAACGCGTAACGCCATCTCCTGTGTAGCCATCACGACACATGCACGAATAGGACCCTGGCGTGTCCACACATGTTGCCCGGACATGGCACGTTGCCGCCACAGCACTGTCATCACATTCATTCACATCTGCAAGCCATGTCAGGTAGAGAACAAACCGTAGAAGTGTAATATAAAGAAGTAGGAATTATATGATCACCCCCCCCCCCTCCCCCCTCCCTACCCTGATCGTAGGACATTTTTTTCAAGAATCAGCATAGACAGCCACATGTGCTTTGCATCATTGATCATAGATTTGCTTAGGAGCCGTATACACATGGAGGCCAACCTAGCCTAGAGGAAAGCGGCATCTGCAAATCCAGTTAACCATGCACACGCAGAGGATAAGTCTGTCTGAACATGCCATGCAGGTAGCAAATGCACGCTGCGTGAACCTACAGTGATAGTGTGACGGCACTCCTTAGTAACCCTTTGAGCTTACTTTCACACTGTCCTCCCGCCGCCCGGACAAATCCACTGCCGCACTCGCAACGATACGACCCATCAGTGTTGACGCACAGTGTGTTGACTGGGCACGAGCCTGACTGATTGCATTCATCAGCATCTGTGTGGGTAACATACAAGTTTTAAAACAACAGAGCTCCAGTTTCAAAGCAAAATCAGATACAGTATTTTTGGTGGAGTCGAGTATGCACTTCGGATACCGTGGCAATTTTAGGTTCAAAATCCAGCACTATATCCGAGATACGGGAAGTAGAACAGGTCCAATGGAGCATCACCCTGTTGCCAGTGTTGGTACGTACAACAGCATTGAAATACCAGATAGTGTGAAGGATAGATCCGCAAGTTGAGCTGAGGCTAGTACGAGGCAGCATTCAGGGAAGTAGAGCAATAGTGTATCTAGCCTCAACTGCCTGCAAAATCAACACAATGCTGATTGGGACGTGATGACTGCGAGAGAACGCCATCACCCAGCATGAACAGAACATGCAATGTGTCATTGAACGTGAAGATGATTCGCTAACACAATGTTGTTGTCTGAGGTTCTACTGCCGGCACGTAATGCAGAAAATTTAATTTAATGTTGCACCTTCTTAAATTGAATAACCGCGCAGAGACAATAACTTTATTATAGCAATCAGCAGAATCAGCAGAATGTCCGCTTCGCTGATTCTGCTTCTTAACTTAAATTGGTCAGAGCACCATGCCACTGGTGAGATACACTGTGACTTTGAATGGTGCAGTCAAACCTCTTTAGTTTAGGACGAGCACCAAGGAGCCGGTGGTATCTGTTCGCAATAACGGGAGTGTTCATCACCCACATGTTATATCAGTGATCACACAGTGATCACACAGTGATCACACAGTGATGTATCCAATAGTCATAGTACTGCATGCACTTCATCTAAAGCGAAAGTTTGCCTTATCAGTGTTCTTCTAAATGAGGTTTCAATGGATCAACAGATGTGTAACTGATGATGCGTATGACCGTGTGTACAGAAACCATTCTGCCTTCACGCACTTACCCACACATGACGGCATGGTCCGCGAGTACTGGCCAGTGGGAAGACACGTTAGAGAGCCGGAACCCGACAGGGCGTAGCCGGAACGGCAGGACACCGTGTACCTGAACGCATCTACCTGCTGCACGTCGCCATTCACAGGCGCCTGAAGACTGGGACACGCTCCTGATCAGAACAGAAGCAAAACAGAAGAGCACAGTGGAGAGTGCACTATTCTGCACAACCAGATGTCCTGTCACGCTGGCTCGGACGCACTATTAAAGTTAGCGCCCAAAATACGCGTCAAGTTGTGAAGCATTTAAAAAAATGTTTCATAGCTTTATCCATCACAATGCAGACCTGCTTCAAAGTACAATGTACTGAAGTGAAAACGAGAACACATGCACACACTTCTCATACTACTATGCAAGACAAGTCATTCTCCAGTCCACTCAATGACCGCACACATCATACTAGGATATACCAAATAGATCCTAACAACACAAGGAACGGCCTCCATGCTCATCACCATGACATGATCACTTACTGGTTGGAGGCTCCGTAGGTTCTGAACCACACACTGGACGCAAACAGAAACGTGGCATCAGAGAAGAGCATAGTTCAGTGGCATCAGAGAAGAGCATAGTTCAGTGGCATCAGAGAAGAGCATAGTTCAGTGGCATCAGAGAAGAGCATAGTTCAGTGGCATTAGAGAAGAGCATAGTTCAGTGGCATCAGAGAAGAGCATAGTTCAGTGGCATCAGACACAATACAATCACCGTGATGCCTGGTCACGGTCCATGACCACTGAGTACTTATTTGCATGATCACTGTGTATTTATTTGCATGATCACTGAGTACTTATTTGTATGATCACTGTGTATTTATTTGTACTTGGAATTTTAGAAACAATACAATCACCGCGATGCCCGGCCACGGGCACGGCCATCACTTACAGCAACTACTAACGTTACTACCAGTACTAGTTGTAGTACTTAACAACGGCACGTATGACCTTAGCGGCTGTCAGCTGAATAGCACCATGCCGCTTCACAAATTGGAAGGTCTACAGTGCATGTGTCGTGCATGGCATGCATCAGTGCAGAAGTCAGCATGCAGTATCATCATCAGTTTATTCTACCATAATAATGGTCGTGCAGCAGGTCTATCACAGAATATAGCCACATCCTCACACTTCGAAGCAATTCGTTAAAGTACAGCTCTGCAGCCCAGAGGACCTCCTTGCATGACGGTTTGAATCGCTGTGACCTCAAATTCTCCTCACCTGGAATTGCACTTCGGAACTGTTGCAGTACTCCACCAGCCACATTCCACTTTTTACCGGACCGCACCATCTTGATGTCCCAGACGGAGCCATGCACAGTCTTCTTCAGAGCCATCTTTGTGTAGTGGCTATTGGTCTTGCCGAAAGCACGGCCCAGGGTGCCTTTTCCGCCGGTGAACGTGGAAAAATAGGACCCCTGCGTTGCCATGTAGCAGGTACCATTGCGGAGCATGCCCAAGCAGCGCACACCACCGTCGCTGGTGATGGTGTGGTCGACGACCATGGCCACCTCCACGTCGGTGTCTTTCAAGTAGGTGCGCAGCAGCTTCTTCTTGCTGGGCGAGACGGAGCAGCCGCAGCGAGCTCGGTCCTCGTCGGTCACCAGCAGTACGAGCGGCTTGACGCAGCTCTGCGCACCGGTGGCACGTCGCCTGGCGTTGAGCGCACCGGCCAGCGCGGCGTAACCGTCCTCGCACTGTGAGGCGTTGTGCTGCGCCGTCTTGGGAAACGCTGGCACAATGTCCGTGATGCGCATGAACACATCCGGAGAACCTTGTCGCTGCACCGGCGACGGACAGCCGTCGTCTTCGCGTCCAAAGCCGAATATGGCGTAGCGATTCGGGCACTCGGCCCCGGTGCCCACGTTGTGCTCCTCCCGGACGGCCTTGTCAAACATGCGCAGGAGAATGCTGACAAAAGACCTATCAAAGCGCATGCTGGGGCTCTCGTCCAGCACCACAATCACATCAGCAGCTTGCACCGTACAGTACTGGCCGTCACAGGCACACTGGTCATTTTCACCACCTGCACGCACAGGAAGTGAGAACACGAACAACAATGTGGGTGCGGTGATTCGCTTCAATAGTCTTGCCGTGCATTATCTGGATCCAATCAGACTCAGACAATACTAGTACTAGCACAGGCAGTGCAATAGTGAGTACAGTCAACTTCGCCAATAACGACACTCGGCGGGGCATCAGAAAAGTGTCCTTATTCGCGAAGTGTCCTTATAACCGAAGTCCCATTTGAATGTATGTGAACCCATATTTTGTATAGTATGACATGCATATCAAAATGAAGCTCTTTTCTTGCTCTATGTCAATGTGTACTTTATTTTCATATTGCAGTTGAAAGGAACTAAAAATTCAATATGCAAGGGAAATCAATTGAAAAATATGCCTTTTTGAGCCATCTACAGGGCCAGAGACATGTACATGTACATGTACATGTATGATGATTACTGTGCAATCATGTACAACTACATGTACATTGTATACACAGTTGTCTAAAGTCCCTAGGCTGCTTACATATGCGTACACTATGCTGTCTGATGAAGTGTTCTGACACGAAACTCGGAGTAACAGCGGAATGAGACTTGTTTGATTCATTGCTGTGTAATATTTGTACATTGTATACATATACATGTAGGTGTGCTGGTAAATCCAACAATTTTGAAGCCAACATAAAAAAGGAAGAAAAAGCCCCCGCCCCCTTGGCTGAATTTTCTTGCGTGTGTGCCTTTATATCCATCACCATAGGTTCTGGCACTTCTTCTGCATGACAGATACATGTACTTGACTGACAATAATAATAAATAACTTGACTGACAGGTACTTGAAATAGCTGTCAAAAGCCCAGAAAGTCGTTATTCAAGCAGTGAATATGACCTCAGGGCACTAAAAGCATGTCGCTATACGCGAATTGTCGTTATTCAGATAGTCGTTATATCCGAAGTGAAATGTATACAGTTAGATGGGACTGTGCTCTGGGCATGGAAATTCGGTCGTTATTCGCGAATTGTCGTTATATCCGCAGTCGTTATTAGCGAAGTTGACTGTACCAAAGAACAGGCTTCTCTCAAGTTATCAGGGAATAACTTGATCGGTTGTTTAGCCCTTTCTCAAGTGATTGTCAGTTTTCGTCCCAATCATAAGTGCACACTCTCAGTGTATGCAAAGAAGCCGCGACTAAACATTGATTGCGCAAAGTTGGTAAGAAGTACAGTACAACATGTACGGGTAGTACATGTATCATGCTCCATGCACCGTGAATGCGATACGGCATACTATTAGTGCACGTTGGACTTTGACAATTGAGGCTTAGATTGTGGGCTACTAAGGATACTAGAGAAAAGAGAACTTGAACAGCATGCATCTCTCTGTAATCTAAATCCATAGTGTTGAGTTGCTTGCTTTGGGGGGGGGATTGGGTGTATCAGCCTAGAGCTGTTTAGTCAATTTGTCTCAAAGGTATCGTGCATCCACCCAGATATCCCACGCCTCTTGCAGCCACTACCCATGTGACAAAGAGGCGACGGTTTGATATGTTATTGTACTCTTGTTATGACTCATTGTCGGTACGTATACCCACCTTGTGACGAGACCAGCCCGGGAAGACTGACCACGCTCACCAGCACAGCAAGGCTGCTCACTAGCATGGACCACCTAAGCAGAAAATGAAAACAAATTGAGACATTTCAGCATGCCAGTACCAACTCCAGCATCTGGGTATGCCGATCGGGTATGCACAGCAGCCCAAGTGAACGGTCATGGCGGCACTGCTATAATCAGCCGTCTCAGCACATGCAGCCGCTGCTACTAGTAAACAATAGCAGACCATACAAACAGTTACTTGGACACACTTGTAACTCATATTAGCCTTGGAAAAAGGACACACTTCAGGTTCTGCAACAACATTTCGCATTTTTCACTGTGCGGTGACGAATATTCTTTCAAACCTTCTCGTCAGGTGAAATACAGGCAAGAGCTAAAGAACAGAGGCAATGGATTTTAAAGTACAATTGAGAGGTGGTAGAACAACGCAAAGAAGGATAGCCAAAAACAACAACAAAACGTGTGATCCAAGCACATAGAAAGAATGCCAAAAAGGTGCAAGTGTAAGGACGCCTAATAGGCGTGAAATGTAGTGCCACAACAATAGACAACCAATGGATATATCTAACACTTGTTGACCGCCAACCTAACAGCCTGACAGACTCACACTTAGGCTGCTAGGTAGGTGGTCAACAACTCCTTAGTTATGTTCACTAGTTGTCTATTGTTGTCACACTACATTCCACACTTGTTAGGTTTCCTCACACTTGCACCTTTTTTGGCATTCTTTCCGATATGCATGGTCACTGTGGATTTTGCAGTTGTTTTTGTCTACCTGTGTTCTTCTTTGCGCTATTCTATCACCTCTCTACTGTACTTAGTCCATTTTCCTTTTGTTCTTGCCTGTATTTCACCTGAGGAGAACGCTTGAAAGTATACCAGCGAAAACTCTCAAAATGTTGTTCAAGAACCTGAAGTGCGTCTTTTCCTATGTCTTACTAGTAGATCCTAGAAAGAGGCTGTATTGGGAGACAGGCGAATTCTACAGACTACACAGTCGTAGCTCATCACCATACTCTGCACCATACTCAGCACCATACTCTGCACCATACTCAGCACCATACCAGTGCATGACCAGGCCATTGCAAGCCTGAGTCTGGTATATGATTCTATGTATGGGATAGAGATGGTGCACAGTTCAAGTGCACGTTAGCTCCTGTACTTCAGTACTGTTCGCTGGTTTCGGGCACTCTGCCACATCAGATAGCAGCCAGCCTTTGCTAAGAAGATCTTTGTGACACCTCTCTGGCTCAGGCGCATAGCACCTCACCTCACAGACACTGGCAATTATAGCCATGCCATTCTTGTCTGGCATCACGGGTACAGCTATGCTGTGTCATACTATGTCTGGGTAAGTAACAAGTTCGTTACTAATGCTAGGAGCTACTGCTATTCCAGAATAGCTCAAGGGGCTGGGTTTGGAGGTGTATTTTTATGGCTAGCCAGCATCTACACGTGGACTTGGAGTCGTGACTCAACTGTGCTTTTTTCTTTTTCTTTTTCTTCCGTTTTGTTTGTGTTTTGTTCTTTTTCCTTTTTCCCTCGTACTTTTTTCTTCTTCTTCTTCTTCTTTTTTTCTTTTTTTCCCTTTCTCTTTTTCTTTTTGAGTATTTGCAGTCTGTGTTTTCTGTTTTTCTCTCTTTGGTGGAGGCTTGCTTGTTGTATCCTTGGCTTTTGGCCGTTACTTTATCGCCATCATAATATTGGGCACCATTGCCCGTTTGGTCTGCGATACAAAATAAAATTTCAACAACAACAAAAACGGGGGGGGGGGCAGGGGATTAAAATCTCAACCAGTGCATGGACAACTTGAGCAGCACCAGTATCCTGCACCATAATTCATTATAGTACCCATTCATACCTCAGATCCTGAATCACCTGGGCTGCATGTCTTCTACTGTTCTAGTAGCTTCCTGTCATCGTGGCACCTACAATGACCATACCTTTACTCATTACTTTTAGCCACTGCAGGATAACTGATTCTTTACCAGTGTACATGTATGCGTATCAGGGTAGTTTTCTTCAAGCCAGTCCAGCTCAGCCTGATCAAGCTGTCAATCTTGTAAACCCACTGGACAACTAACTTGAACTTGAAGGCAATGAAGGGCATGTGTGCGCAGTGGGATGGACCTGAGCAGATTAGGCTGGTCCAGCTCACCATACATGCTCACTATCCCCTTCCTGCACGCCATGCCTCCCTTGCAATCACTAATATAGTACGGGTAAGCACAACCAGTCCCCAAAGGAAGTGTTCAGTCAAGCCAAAGACAACAATAATAATTACTCTAGTTGATAATCAACGCTTTGAACTTTCGTTCTTCTGTACGAGGCACCTGCACCTGGCGATTGCGGTTGGTAATGCCACCAATGCCAATGGGATAGTTCCACTGGTAACGCTATCATGTCGGCCTGGGGCCCTTTGCATCAGCGTATTCGTTGCAATAAATATTATGACTCCTAACCTGCTCAAAAACAGGAGTGCACGTATTCCTTTCAAGTCTTACCGCCTCATCTTCTTTGGGTGCTGCCGAACTTGCGCACACCGTCCGATGGAGTTCCTTTGCGAGCTTTCTTTTTCCGACTGCCTGTCAACGGAGAAACGAGCACACTGACCCACACGTCCACCAGTTCGACGTCTTGCCTTGGACAACTTCAAAGAAGTTCAAGTGCTAACCGCCGAGGTTTTCGCGAGAGCCTACCCTAGCGCAGATGGCATCCACTCCGTACGGATCCGTCTGCTCAGCGACCAATTCCCGACATTCTTCTCCCTATGACCCGGCCGGCTCTGCATTGCACAATGCTAGGACCAATCACCGAGAACACAGATGAATAAGAAAGAAAATACTCTTCCTTATCGGGTGTCCGATCACTCGTGCATCTTCGACTATGTGGCCACTTTTGAATGGCATTTTCTTTCGAGCTGCGGCTCTTCCTCGACAAAATTAGCCGTCCACTTGTCGCTCATCGCTGACATGTCAGCAGTGGAAAACCAGTGAGAACTGCTGTGTGGTCTGTTTGAGGTGTCCTCCGACCGGCCACATTTCACCTTATCTACATGTACGAGTATGAAAGGAGGATTGGATTTGGATTCTACAAAGCACCTCATCCATCACTCAGGAACCAGGACAATTCAGATACTCTCCCCTCCTTTGAAAACTGGTAGTCGACTACTCTCAGCTGATCAGTCTAAACGCTGCTCTTCTTCCGATTCGCAGCACAACACATTTTTCAAATGAATGAGACGTTCATTTCCACTTGGTAACAGTTTACTTTCCACTGATGATTGTGACAAGAAAATCGATTTTGTTAACCCCTCATGACTTTGTTGTATTGTGGCGATGACAGCAGAATTTGTTCTCTTTATAGCTATTATAAAATTGTTGTCTCCGCGTCGATTATTTTCATTCTAAGTTCGTAACATTTTGTCCTCCTTTTTTCACCATAATTTAATTGGCTCACCATCCGAGTTAAATTCTAGTACTAATAATTATTGTAGAAAGGAAAAGGAAAATTTAATATAGATACGAGTTGAGAGTAACTCTCCATCACTGTAACCAGATACTATAATTATACAGTCAGAAAGTGCAACAACTAGGCACAAAACTGACAGATATAATTTCCTTTTCCTTTCTACATTATTATTGGCCCAACATCCCAGTTACTAATACTGAAGTGATTATTCCTGCATATTTCACTTCCTCCGTATTGACTGCTTATATTTGACTGGTTATGATATTACTACTTTAAGTAGTTGGTCACCATTCATGATTACAGTCATGACTTTATAGAACGAAAGGGGCCGTCTGCAAATACCGATTTTCAAAGGAACATGCATACACATACAGGTTTTTTTCAAGCCCCCCCCTGGGCCCCTTCTCTAGGGAACCGTGACAGCACCCACTTGTTTCGTGATACGTGTAGACAATTGTACAATCATGTAGATCTACCATCAATGTTGGACTCTGGGTGATATTGAAATCGGTTTGCAGCTTGTAAATCTGCTACACATGTGTATCACAGATACTAAACAAAGCTAGCAATCACACACCGAATAAAAACAAAATGTCGATAGCATGGACAATTTTCCATGCACGTCCAAAACAAACAAACAAGCCCCCCCCCCCTTATCAGGGTGCACTCTCCTCCATTCGCCAGCTGCTCCACTGGTTCTGGAAAGCGTATTTTACAAACATACAGGCGTGTTGGCATGAAAACTGGCCATGGCCCATGAAGTAATTAATTATACAATGTAGTATTCATTTGCTAGCTTCTTCGTTTGCCCCCCCCCCCCCCACGTTTGTTATGCTTGGGACTAAACCTTTCCCAATGATGCCATAATTTTTCGCAACTTATGCTTTTCGCAACAGTGCCAAAACAAGTGCAAGTTGCTGAAATGGCATCCATACTATTTCCAGAAAAAGCTCAAAAGTTGCCAGCATCGCAACTTGAAATGAGAGAATTCTTGTGCATACTAGCGCCAAAACGACCAAAAAGGAGCGGAAATGGCAGAAGTGCGGACAGCAAACTCTTTACCCCTTCCTATTGTGAACTACAACTTCACACAGTGCAAGTAGCCTATTGCACGCATCTTCCATCATTTTAGGGCACACAAAAGGGAATGCACATAACGCAACTACAGTGGAGCTCGGAGATTGGATATAACGACACTCCTTTGGGATAAAACAAAAATGCCGCTATATTCGATCTGTCACTAAACCCGATCTTCACATTTTAGTATGCAATGTGTACATCAAAATGACAGAAATGTATTGCAGATATGCATGTGCAGCATAATAATGCATACCGGGTATGAGTTCCAGATGTGCATGTGTCTTGCATGCAAGTAGTATAGTTCAAGCCAAAAGTCATGCATAACAACTACACTGCTGCACTGCGGCTACAATAATGCAATGACCAGCACGCGTGGAGTGACCCAGAGTTCTGGGCATGTGACACAGATATGTCCCAATGTATGCCACTCTGCCTGATACAAGGGGAAAGGCGTTATATTCGATGCATTTTCAGGTCTTCGGGTACCAAAAAAAGTGTCAGTAAATTTGATCTGTTGTTATTTTCGAGGTCGTTATACCCGATCTATAATTTACAGAAAGGACTTGCTATTAAAACGACTTGGGCAACAGAAATTTGTCGTCATATCCAATCTCCATGACTGTACTGTTTCTCTGAAACGAGTCTGAAGGCATACGAGAAATGAACGAGTATGCATTTGTCCGACAAGTAGTCTGTGACTTGACCTTTTGACGCATATGCATGCCATTGGGCCAAGGTTGCGGACAAGTTGCGAAGTGCACTGTAGTTCATGAAAATGAAGAAAGTTGCAAAAATTGCGATTTCTTCCAAAACAACGAAAAGTAGTTGCAGAAAAAGTGGCGAGCGTGCTTGGGACAAGCTTTTGAATGGCTTGACGACAGAGTTTAACGTCACAGGAGCCCGGACACAATGGATCTGGGACTAGGTTCACCAAAAAAAAAAAATGATAATAGGGCTACCAGATTGTACAGTATATTGAGTGGATGTGATTGAAATGACTTTTGGATCTGGTCACACTGCAATGTATACCTTGAAATGACTCTTGGGTCTTGTCACACTGCAATGTATACCTTGAAATGACTCTTGGGTCTTGTCACACTGCAATCTATACCTTGAAGCAAGGAAGACTAACAAAAGGTTCTGTAGTACCCGCATGGAGGCTCACTCGCGTCTCGGCAGAACGTGGGTGAAAATCAGAATGGAGCGCATTGTGCAAGCTGTGAGGGTGTTCAGCTGAAGAAGTTTCCGAAGCACGAAATGCTCAATCTGCGGACCGAACTGTTTCGTCCTTTGTGGACTCATCAGCACAGCACAGAGAAAATAAGGCCGGACCTGATAGCAAGGAAAATAAATTTTCTAAAGCCAGATTTAAACCAAACCCAAACGTACCTTGCCGAAGCACGAAATAAAGCTATTCGATGAGCTTCGAAGCTTCGTCTTTAGCCAAGTTTGGGCCTTTCGCTTCATGCTTTTGTTTGTTCCGTGTGACTAAAAACAACATTGCAAACGTGGGCCCATTGCATGAACTTTACGTGTATCACCCATGTTCCCGTATCCGTTACCCGTTACGTGGGACTAAACCTCCCTATAGTAGCATGCTGCATTGCTTGATGCAACATGCAACCAGTGCTTTGTAACCAAAGTGGACATACACATGCATGTACAACACACAAACACGGCAAGATGGAGGCACACACACACACACACACACACACACACACACACACACACACACACACACACTGTACTTGTTGCTCACTGCCAAAACTGGTCACGTGAGTCCTCCCAGGAGAGGGGAGAGAGACTCAAAAGGAATCTTGGAAAGATGACTCAATTGTAGGGGTGAAACGATTAGTTCGAATATTCGAGTATTTGTTCGAAAATTTCAAACGAGCGAGTATTCGAAATGTTTCACTCGATCGTTTTTTTTTTTAGTATTGGCATTGTATTTTCAAACACTTTTTGTTGTACCGCTGGTCCACTGGTATGCATGCGTTATGCATGGTTTTAAGTCAGTATTTTAAGACTTGGACGAAACGATCACCACTGCAAGTAACGTTCTGAGATATGAAAGTACTGATGAAAATCGTTTCTTTACACTCTGTACAAGACGTTGGCAAATTTTGTTCTATGTTCACAGATAATTTCTTCCGAATTGGTCGAGAACTCGGAAATCTAGTGCTTTTGAATTTTGATAAAATACTCGAAATAATCGGATACTCGATCGAATATTATGAACGAGTGATCGATTGGTCAAAATAGATACTCGTTTCACCCCTACTCAATTGGTTATTGAACCGCCCAACGGCCGACACCCCCAAAACTCTGGGTGGACTTGAAAGCGATCCCACTTATGGGCTCACCACACCTCAGTAAAGCTGTGTTCACAACTGGCGTGTGTACGCGTGAAACCACGCGTTTGTGCGTATTTTTGCTGGCTTTTGGGGCGCCATGCGTACGGAAACGCACCGAAATGGAAATTCCAACATGTTGAAATTTTCAGCGCGTATCAGGCGCGTACCAGCCAGTCACTTTGACTGGCGGGGTCAAACAATTAGTACTCGAAGGTGTCGAACGTGCTAAATACGACTCGGATTACTGTTTTTTTGGTGAAAGCTTGAGCGCGCGTTTGGGCACGCATGAACCGCAAGCGTACCGCGTCCACGCACCAGTTAGGAACACAGCTTTAGTGGGTGAGGACAAGGTGCAGAAAAAGGATTGACGGCATCAGGGTATCCGTCCCGGGACCCAACTGCAGTTACCCCTGCCCCAATGAAGGTAATACTTGCTACTAGTGTGAGTGGCTAAATCAGAGTGGATCTGATAAAAGCTTCACCACCATTGATTACACATACACAGACACACACACAAAGACACACACAGGCATGTATGCATGTAGCCCGCTCAGTGCACATGGTTACGGCCAACTGTAACAGGCGCAGAGCTTGTGCTCACTCTGCTGAAGATAATTATTCAAATGCTCGAGTAGTGAGAAGATCATTCTCTTTGAACAGAAGCACCTAGTCAAGAGTTCCACAAGGCTTACGTACGTGTGCCACATCCCATGTGCAAAAAAAGGCAAAAGCAACACAGTATACCAGCTACTTGAATGATAAATTATTCATTGACAACAACAGCGACATGCATGTAACAGCGAAAAAGAACACAGCATACCTTGCACAGCGGCTACATAGAGGACTAGATTATTCCATGTCATTGGGCACCCTGTGCTTGTCAAAGTGCTTGACGACGTACAGAGGGAAACCAAACATTATGACGAAACAGGCGAGCAGTTGCAACGCAACAAAGCCGGGGAAGAAGTGACGAGGCTGCGGAGCAAGGAACATGACAAACACATAAACACAACAACAGTATGAAAGGCTGTACGATGCAACCCGCTTAGTGCGTTGACTAAAAAAACCTGTAAAGCTAAATGCCTCTGCAGCTTTAGTCAACCCAAATTAATGCAGTGGTTGCAAGTGAAAAGTGATCTTGTGATTAAAGCAGAGCACTACACAGGCTAGAGTCCATAGTGCCAGGGGTAGAATCGAAACAATCGTCGTGACCATTGTGGTTCTCCTCAGTAAAGAACTTTCCTTGACATTTTTTTGTCTTTTCTGGACCGAAAGTATGACACTTTTACTGGCTGCAGTCATGAATGCATTTTTGCTTGCATCTCTGCAAGGCGCTAGGCCAGGCGTCCATCAATTCCTGATATTATTTATACAGATGAGCCAAGATAAGACCTGTATTTTCAAGACAAAAAAGGACTTGAGCCAGATGCAAGGCATAGACCCACGATGTCTACACTACGTGCTGTAGATTGCAACTCCAAATAGCTGCAGCACAGCTCATTCAGTAAAGTTGAACCTGTGGCCATTCCACTCTCCTCTATCATATCCACTCCCAACAAACTGACACGGAAAGCTGGTGCAAAGCGCAAATCAATCGGTGCATAGCATGCATGGGTGTGACGGAGAATCACAAGAAAGTCCTTCATACATTGAGTATACTCTAAATCTTCATTCAGGAGCATCTTAGTCTGTGACATCAATGCTTGCCACAACGTGGTCCTTTGTTCTTCAAGATGTTCAGGTCAGATAGATTTACGTGTAGTGCAGTTCAAGAATTATTTTGATATTCAGTAAGGCAGGCTAGTCGTGCTCCCTGTGCGCACACACACACGCACACAACAGCACCGTGTGCTGTCATGCATGAAAGCAGCACTCGTATCCACTCTCCACGCTCATAGTCGATTTAAAATTAATCATTCAGAGCTGATTGTGCCACACGGCATTACATATACACGAGTACTCGACCAATCGTAACTTTTTTTATTTGGTTTTTCTACAGTGCACATATGTATTGCATGTTGAATGTACATTTTCATTGGTTTGAGGGACAGACGCAAACGGGAAAAGTCAGAAGAAAATATTGACCGTCACCACCAGGATTAGAACCAGGGACCCTCGCTTATGGCCAGCGATGCTCTACCACTAAGGTATGGTGTAGTCGTCATTCAAGCAGTGATTGTTCAACATATTCTTCAAACTTCCAAACTCACGCTTCCTGTGAATCCACACAGGCGGCTGGGACGCAGCCCTCGCTGTAACTCACACACTTCACGTACAAACTAGCACGCCGGGAGCTCAAAGTCATAAATATTCTATTCATTGGTTTGAGGGAGCGTTGCACACAAGAACAGGCTGCAGAAAAAATTGACTGTCACCACCAGGACTGGAACCAGAGATCTTCGCTTATGGCCAGCGATGTTCTACCACTAAGCTAGGGTGCAATATGTACATTTGCGTATATGTTACAGTATGTTGAAGTTTGAAGTATTTGGTACGCGATTTACCTGTACAATCTTTGTCTTTTGCCCAAAAACGACCTAGGCCCTGTGTTGCAAACATGGCACACTGTACCAGGTGCAAATATTTCGAGTCGCAACATGTTGCACTTGGCTTTGTTAGCCCGCGTACAGCGTTGATCTTCTACGTTTGTGCATGTAAACAGCACGAGTATAGCACTTGTTGTACAATTGTATAGTGCGCCCAGGCACAGGAAGGAGCGAGGCCAACATGATCAGAGTTGAGAAGGCCTACAGGTGCACTCGGTGAAATCCGATCCAGAGAACATATTCGGCGTCCTGAACTTGCACGCCCTTGACGCCCTGGAAGTGACATGGATGCGGCTGGGCGTACACATGTACAACTACAACCATGTCATCGGAACGTGTCCAGGACGCCAGCTTTGCATCTTGGGTCTGATTTCACCGAGCGCAGCTGTAGCTCTATGAGTCTACTCACACGGTCTGTATGTAAGTGTACTGATAATTTTGTTTGACCGCGGCTCGATTTTCGTGCATACGGACCGGAGGAAACTCAATTTCTTGGTCTCGCCTAAAGAAGAATCCCAGCTGCTGGCTCCAACAACTCCGAGCTCCCTACGACCAAGTTCGAGCGAAGCGCGATCGATGGAAATCTTGCAGTTGTTTTTCGACTTGGCCTTGAGCTGCAATGGTGTTCCTGAAGTGAGGTGGCGGTCATCAATGGATAATATAGATGTACATGACTACATGCACTTCTCTCCCCAGCAGCTTTCCAGCTATGAAGTAAAGTTGTAATGGTGGGAAATTCACACCGCAGCAATTTTCGCCATTCTGCTCGACCGATGCAGCACCACAAACTTCCCTATCTTCTTTCCATCAAGCAACTTAGCACAGCGCTGGTCAGCGTAACACGTTTCCAGGCTTGGGCTCCACACCCCGCACAAAACAACCCTGGGCACGTAGATCATGCATAGCTGCGCTCCGGCTGCTGAAATCCATGCAAGGCATGGTGCTGCACTGAGCCCGAGCCAGGTGTTGCACTGGCCAGCACTGTAGGCATACAGGTGGTTGGTTGTCTAGTGCGAGTGTGTGATGCTGTGTGCGCACGCAGGACGTGTCGCAGACACAACAGAAGGAAAGAACATGAAGCCAGCTTTGCGAAAGTAAACGGTGTCCCTGGGCTGATACTAGTAAACAGAACCAGAACTCCGAAACGCTTGGTTCGGATTACTCGCCGGTTCATCTCTATTCAACATGGTCAAGAGATTCCCTCAAACCAATGAATTTAAAACGATAAACGTATCATTCGTGTTCAGGCTATGTCTTCAAGTCCTGATCAAGATCTGGAAACCAGCGCCCGTTTCAGCAATGATTTCTTGCGTGAATTGTGTGGGGTTACGAGCATTGCCATCTTGTGTCATATCTGGGCTATCGCATCACGGTATACCATGATGACTAAACGCACTGAGAATTTGACAAACATTTTGGTACTGACATTGATACATGACTTGTACTTCAATTATTATAATTTTCATGAGCATAGGTCCCAGCCTTACCAGAGGTTTGTAGTTGTATACGTCATCTCTCAGGATATACAGACGACCGTCATCCAACATAGGCTTGACCTTCTCCTGCTCTGATGAAGGAAGCTTCTCCCAGTTTGTGTCCAAAATGCACATCACCGTTCGGTCAGGGAAGTCATGTACAAACGCAACATCTACTGCGCTTTTCGGGTTCTCTGGGTGAACGAAGGGAAAGCGAGGATCATAGTATGTTCTCACACTGGCTCCAGCAGATCGCATCATGCCCAAACGGGCAGAGGAGCGTGCAGCACCTCGAAGAAGATTCAACGCCATTTCTGCAGGCTATGACAGATCTTCCTCAGGCTCAGTTCGTTCAAGCCGAATCAAGGTCTCAACTCGCTCAAAAATCACGATTTCCTCGACCTCAGCGCATGCGCAGCGCGCCGGTGGAAAAAATAATACAATATTTCTGCAAAATTTGGATGTCCGGCCGGGCGCCGCGCGCCGGGCCATGACATAATATTAATGACGCGTCGACGATAATTATGACGACGAATTATTTTCGAAACGAGGCGCTCAGTCAGACTCGGAAAAAATGCAGTTGGATTTTTGACGACTCCTGTTTGCAGTGCATGCTTTGGACCGTTTGGCGAACACGTAACGACGTTGCAGCAGTACTTGTTGTAGAGACACTGGAGAAATGGAGACAGCAGCGTAGCTACGTTCATTGTACAGGACTGTACTTGGTATTGTTCAGTGGTTTCCGAAGGGACCAGTAACAAAACTGAACTCTCCAAACACCTACAATGCCGTCAATAAAGGTATCGTGCTGTCAGTAGTGCCTAGGCTAGGGCTGTGTTACAACCAGGGAGTAGTACAATACCATTATTGTACTACTCCCTGGTTACAACGACGCAAGTCCCTTTGGGATCCGGGAACGGGCACGGTAATTAAATTTTAATACTCTTCTTCTTTTTTACAGATAATTATTTTATTTATAATCATAATATTATGTAAATGTTGTACATACATAATTATGTACACGGTGAAGCAGATACTGGTACATGACATCAAGAGTACATAACCCCCTAAGAGTGTACATGTACAGCTCTCACATACCCTGCTGGCCTGCTGTCCCAACAGAATTTCAAGTTGACGTCATTATTTATGATGCAATGCTCCTTGCACCAGTGATCTACAACATGCGTACGGGTGTCAACGCATCACACATTTTTCTTTGCAATAATTTGTACAGGATCAGATGGGCTTTGGTCCACCACAGGTTCCGGATTCGTCTGATAATCCGTGTACATTGCATCATAAAAATGGCGTCAACTTGGAATTCTGTCGGGACAGCACTCATAGTCGAGTTGCACACTCTTGGGGCGGGGGGTATGTACTCTTGATGACATGTATCTGCTTTGGATCTACTACACCCCAGACCAGTCTGCGGGTTTGAACGCTACTGAAAGACATAGTGAGCTGCACACATTTGACGATGGTCCAAAATTCATACAGGTTAACGAGAAGATAACGATCTTGCAGGGACTTCAGGCATATCCGCACATAATGGCATACGAGGCATTACAGCCTCACCAGAACTTATTATGGTGAAGAAATGTCACTACGCCGGTGGAGTCGCGCGCCGAGGAACATGTAGCCGAAGAATGTCCAGCCTCAGAATATGCGATAAGACTGTGACGCAGCCAGTTTGCTGAGAAAGAACAGCGTCCTAGGCTAACCTCTTGGAAACAACGTTCATGGGCGCGCGACTACTGCTGAAACGTTAGATTTACTTCCTAGTTACATTGCCATGTCTTACAGTACTCTACTATGCATGTAGTATAATAGTATGGTCACAGTCTGGCCAGAGGAATCCTACCTCATGGTTAAAGTAGTGCCGCGCTCAAGTGCACAGAGTGTTGTACTAGTAGTACTAGGGCTGCGTAACCCCCGGCCCGGCGCTGATATAGAAGCCTACATCAGTACACATAGCAGTACGTGCTTTCGAATAGTTTCGTATTCCACTTGATAGTCGATTTACTGTAGTTGCCCAGTGTCTCAAGTGCTGCAGTCAAGTTGGCGGACAGAGAAGGGTTGAATACTCACAATACGCGTGGTCACTGTTGTGCACTACAGTCCATCCATTGGAAACTTGCATTGGAAACTTGCATTGGAAACTTGCACCCTAAAATAATTGTTTGGTGTCTACCATCAAGAGTACATGAAAACCAGAGTGTGCAGCTTGGGGCCTTTTCTGCTATGGGTGTCTGTCACGGCGGAATTCCGTGATTACATCATATTTGGCGTAGATCTGAGGCGGGAAATGGCGTAGTGCGCACAACTGAGCTGCAGTTGTGCGGAAAGAGACTTGCTTGAATCCTGCTTGTACATATTGTACGCACTACATCACTAAAATGATGTCATCACGGAATTCCGCCGTGACAGCAACCCATCCGAGCTGCACACTCTGGTTTTTATGTACTCTTGCTACCACGTATAGTTGTAGATATCATGAAAACAACAGTACATCCTGCATTGTGTGACCCGTACAATTATTCCTTCCCACATTTCGAAGCCACAAAAGTCCAAGGACTGGGAATTAGAAATCCAGCCAGATTTTACAAAATTAGGACAGGTATGCCATGGCAAAATGTACGGAGAAACTGATCTAAAATCGGGCTTCAAAAGCCAGCCTGAGCGGGACTATTTTGGATGAGTGGACTGTTGGAACTAGCATAGCAGTGCATGGGAAGAAGGCACCAACTGATAGCTAGCCTAAGCCTACAACACACCGCTCAAGTTTCAAGTCTTCAACAATAATTATTATATAAATTACATCATGTTCAATAAGGGTGATTAGGCGTGTGTTCTAATGATGACATGGTAGCATGTATCACATAATATTATAAGTACTTGTTATACACATCTTAATGAAGCTATGGATATGGCTGTTATTATAATTACGTCCATTGATTCTGGTATTTATTAACGTAATATAGTGGACAACACACATGCAATGTACCGGTAGATATCCCACGTCTTATAATAATGGTTTAGAAGTTCTCGCTTGGAATAATTTGCTTGGAGGCTGTGGTCATAAACTTGACCATAGATTGGATAAGGTTGTCTTGCTGGCCTACAATCCACTCCATGGATCGGAGCTTTCCAGCCGCGGACGGTGGAGGGTAGAACGCTGCCTGGCTGTGGCTGCTGCTCCTGTCGACCCAGCATAGGCGTGGCACTGGGTTCTCACCTGCATGCAGACAAAGTTTAAAAAACAACACGGTTTTTACAGTGCACAGTTCAAACAAACGAAATGACATGTGCACCCGCAACTACTTACTTAGCACACCGCTGATGCAAGGTGAGCAGAGTGTGCATGCCTTGTCATCGTGCATGTTATTTGTATAATCTGTGTCTATCCCGTTAATGGCGAGGCGTGCACATAAAGCTACACGAACTATAACCAAGCCGTGATAGATTCAAGTAGCTGGTTATCACTCAACTGTCAACGCACAGGTCAGCGTCTTGTGTTCTAATTTTAAAGCTACGGGCTCATCTAATTTCGCAGCCGAATGAGGTGCTAAACGATGTCACTGGAGAGTGCGAGGATAATTCTCTCTGACTGCTGGTGTATCACTGCTACTAAGGGTGTTGTCACCACCCGGCTATCATTAGTGATGTGCTTGCAATAACTTACATCGTGTCACGACAACAACAACAACAAAAAAGCAACAAAAAAAAGCACCTTACTGAACCGGGAGAAATATCCAGCGGGAACAAACTGCTCTGCCCAGCTACTTAGTTCATCTGCGTCCAGCGTAACAGTCTTGGCTGTTGAGTAAGATGCACGCCCTGTTGCTTCTAATACCTGGACACGAAACAGAGTGGGAAGAACAAGTAGATACTCTGTCTCGTATAACTATTTAACAATGCTATTTGCATGTTTGTGGTTGAAGTATTTCAGCACGATACAGAGCCCATAGCCTTGCCTATTCTGAATGATATGGTTGAGAGCAGAGAGGCAACCAGGTAAGACATGTGATAAGCGTAGCAGCAGAAATAGAAACAAACTACCCCAGTATCTAAGAGCAGAATAGTGTGTTGCATGCGCCATACCAATACGCACGTAAGCAATATGTCTACAGTGTGCGTAATAGCACGGACTGCACTCGATCGCGCAAACCCAGAGGTCTGATTTCACTTGCCACCACCACCGTACAATCATGCACATGTAACGTTACATAATTACGTGGAAACCAACCGGCATCCACGTGTCCAATTGACTCTGACCAGAGCCTCTCTGGGTCAAGTGATCTGAGAAGTCCTCCTGATCACTTCCATGGATGAAAATCAAATAGGGCAGCAGGCTGTCATCAGAGCCACTGGCATCTGTGTGTAGCAGTGAATCAAGAGATCTGCAGAAAGAAGAGAGGCAGGTGCATGTAAAGCAGGTCCTCATCAGAGTACATGTATAAGCCGCATTCATAGCATTTGCACAGGCAGCCAAGAGATACGCTTGTCCAAGTACTACTGTCCTCTTATACTTCAGCATGCCCAATGCAGCCAGCTAGGGCGTCAATACATTGCATAGTCCAGAGTGCCCACTACAGCCAACTAGGACGTCATTGCAGTGTGCAACATGGGTAGGTAGATGTTGTGGGGATAGCATTGTAGCGTTACCGGTATGTGTACAAGTGAGATGGAAGCATGTCAACTGCTTCATCCGTGGACCTTAATAAGTTGTACACACTACGCAATGCAGTGCTCAATGGCTATGGTGGCAGAGCGCTTTACATTGATCCGGTCAAGTTGTCCTTCTTGTGTTGACTACTTGTACGTTTTATAGCATGATCTTGTGACTTTGCTGCAACAGAAGCACGCGCGTAAGATCAGTGCCCTGGTGTTCATGCACCACGGTCAGTAGCACACACGCATGTAGCGCTGTGTCCATTTATCCGTCCAGCCAACAGCCATGTTACATTGTAACGCTAGAACTTAGAAGTTGCTCTTACTTGGCCATGTGGAAGTTGGTGTAGGACAGTGGCATTACCGGGAGACGGGCATGATCCTGGACGAACCGTGCGATGTATCTACTGCACACGTGCGCATCGTCCTCGCAGTGGCTAGTGGGCAGAAATCCATATCTGAACCAGTGTGCAGATGACAAGGACAAGAAACGCACTATGGTTCAACAAGTGTTCACGTGTATGGTGTTCCACATCATCAGGTGGGTATTTTAAGCTAGGCCTCTGAGAGGAAAAACACAGTGAGCTACAACACGCAGTAACATACAGTGGAATTTAGAGCCTGGTGTCGAGCTGATATCTTCATTAGCCGGGATGCATCGGAGGCAAGGGGATGAGGGGGGGGGGGGGGGTAATTGTCCTCTAAAATCGGGCCCACATTCACTTCCAGCCCCACACATGGATACAATTCAGTAGTAGTGTATGGTGGCTGATATGATTTTGATCCCTGCATGCGATGGAGGGCTGACTTAGGCAAAGAGACATGGCATGCAGAACCCATGCAGTACCTGTGTGGCTGGTGACTGAGTGAATCACCATCGTGTAAGTTCTGTGAGGACTCAGCTGACATGGTGCCCATCACCGGATGTCCATGTTTGAACAGCGTTGTACCTTCATTGTCGGCACGTTGAAATATCAACTACCAAGAGAAAGAAAAAGAAGATGATTGACTGTGTAGTGAATGGCGTATGTTTTTTTGTCCTATTCCTATCCAAATTTGTTGAAGTTACTCCACATTTTTATTCTCAGCGACACAGTAATCAGTGTTCATTTGGGGAACTGGCCTGGTATATCAGAAAGTACCAACACCGTAAAGTACTGTTGACCACACCACGGTGTGTCGCTTCCCAGTTGTTGTTTTTTTGGGGCAGGGGCCAAGAATTAGATCAACGCTGTCAAGTGCAGTACTGTGTACAACTATACAGAAGATCAGACTTGCTATGCTGGACTGTGCACATTTTCATCCACGGGCATACCTGCACTGGCACGTACTGTGTGCAAAAGTCCGCACGTCGGCTTAGCACCGCAGATTGACGTACATGTACACACTGAAGTCGCTTCACAGATACCGGTAGAAATTTGACAAGTAGCGGAAATTAGAGAAGGGGCAGATTGACCATACTTTACGGTACATGCAAACTTAAATACGCAGGGGCTTCGCCCGATATTCACCTTTGACAGGTAGTAATGCAGGTTGTCCATGTGCTCCACTAGTTTGCCTTGCTGCGTCGTTGGTATGTTCAGCGTTGCCGAGCATTTCGCAACGGAGAACAAATGACGGCAAACCAGCTGAAAGCAGTGCCAGGAAAAGTAGCTCCTGGTCTTGCTGTGCGGCATGACTTCAAACGTGGCATGAAGATGTGCAGTAGGACCATCAGTACTTGGCCATACCTGCTTGAGATCAGGAACAAGAATGACAAGAAGATACGCAAAATTGCAAACTAGACAAGAATGAGCTTGATTGTTATCAGTCAAAGGTGGTACCAGCATGCATGGCCGAACTTGCTCACATACACATACACGCCCAGTTTAAACCAGCCACGCGACAGGTCAACGGTTACAGTCTAAACGCATGGTACTCGTACCTGCAACGCTGCCACCTCGTCACCAGAGCTACGCATTCGAACAGATGGCTCAAGCAGCTCTTCAATCCAGGCACCAATGCTCTCCTCCTGGACAGTCACAGTGAGAAGCAGAAAAGCAATGATCATACACGAACATGCACCCACCCAGCCACGCACGCACACACGGACGCACACACACACACACACACACACACACACACGGACGCACACACACACACACACACACACACACACGCAATGCTGCATTCTACTCCCAAGTAGGTACGTTGTAGCACTCTTCAGATATCTCATTGCCAATGCATACATACCGACCATTCAGTAATGACGTTGCCATTTCTCCAGCGTGCACGTTGTACCCGCGCTGTACCGCTGGCATTATTTGCACAGCGGCTCAAAAAAGCGCCTGCGTACCCAAACGAAGACACCAAACAAATTCATCTAGAAATACATGGGCATGCAAAATAGTGGTTGGCATCACAAGACAGCTAGCTGCACAGGTTAGCAGCCCATCTGCCACCCAGCCCATGGTCAAAGTGCCTGTAACATTCTCAGTGAGACACGTTCCCACACTTACCGACAAGGCGTGATGGTAGTTGATTCGTAGCCAATCGTGTTCAGGACCACTGTCAGCGCTGGGCATGGACTCACACAGGCTGTCGGCTTCTCTGCTTGTGTGCAGTGCTCGCCACGCAAAGACCGCCGGAAAACCGTGGTCTTCGGAAACTCGAAGTCGCGTACACAACTCAACGGATGACGGGTTGGAGCAGTTGACAATACCAAACCACACTTCGGCACCTGATGGAAGAGAACAAAATAGCAATTGCCAGACCGTAGTGAGGTGTCTTACAAATCAGTTGTGCTGTGATTTTCAATTACAGTCGTCCCTCTCTAATCCGGCACTTTATAATCCAGCACCCTCGATAAACCAGCACAATTTTCAGTAGCCAAAATGTCCTCTTCATGTACATTGCAGCAGTAAATCAGATTTGTTAATCCAGCACCCTCCCTAATCCAGCAGATTTTCGTGGCACAAATGGTGCCGGATTATAGAGGGACCACTGTAATACGTTTCCCTGAAACTTTCCATAGTAAACATCATCATTCTATACCACACTGCCAGGAATCCACCGACTCCGTTCCCCTAGCACGAGGTTTCTATGAATGTGTATTGCACGATCGTCCAGGCTGGAATTTCCCCTCAGAATTCAGAGAATGCCGAGTTAGAATTGCCAGGTTGAAGAACATAATTATCATCTCACTCCAAGAAAACGAAGAATGATTACTGAAACAGCTGAACTTTTGCCATGGAAAGTCACAAACACATCCTGTAATGTATTCTAAGAATATTTCGACGGGAGCTTTTGAAAATTAAGAGCATACCAGGACAGGTTACTAAAACTACCCACCCCACGTCAATTCATCATCAGGCGCAAGCAAGGTGCAAGGCAGATAATCGCTTACATACATGCAGTGCATGGCAATTTAAAAGCAGCCTTTAACGCCGCCCTGTGCTCAGCTTCACAAGCATTATCTCACCACCTATCTCCCAGGATTGAGTTGGTTGAGACACTCTGGTCCCAGCCTACAGAGGTTATGCAGTTACATCATCAGTTGAGATGCTTTGGAGCAAAGTCGCGGCACAGCGCGAGCTAGCAATGCACGAGCGACTCACTCTGTATACAAGTACCTAGCACCCATAAGCGGTTCCGCTGCATACTCAGTGCCCATAAGCGGTTCCAGGTTTCCGCTGACCCATTGTTATGACTCAGTCTTTCGCATAACCTCTAGTGGATAATGGTCCTGAGGCACTCATACAAAATACCCATTTTACCTGCTCATTGTGTACGGCTTACAAGCTACCACTTACCACCAAAACGCTTTGCAATGCTTGCATAGACGGTCTCTTTCCGCTGACAATTGCCACAGTGCTCCCTGGTTGCCATGATCTGTATTGTACATGTACAGGGGATATCAAAGCCATGATCTGTATTCATATTTATTTTATTTATTTATTCGACATCTTATGGCTTCCAATGGCAGCTAAAACAGGAAGATATGGGTGATAGCCAACCATGGTAAAAGAATGAGAAGATTACATACATGAAAAGGAAATAGCCGAAAAGCTATATTGATTAGTTTTTTTATTATGGTGCACGCAGTCATCAGCAAGCCCTCAGATTCACTTTAAATTCTTTCAATGATGCAGAAATCGGGAAGTTGTAGTCGGGAAGTTGTCGGGAAGTTGTAGCCACGCACGTATTCCAAGCAATACATGGCTGAGGTAGCCAATGACCACTTTGCGTGGCGATTGCAGGGTTTTTATAGCCAACTACGGCTAACAAGGAAAAGAGTACGAAGTCAAAAAGAAAAGGAAAAGAAGAAAGAAGCAAATATGGAGTAAAATATGTACAGGGGATATCAAGGGACTTGATGATTTAGAAAGGAACACTTTTGACACGGCATAGCAGCATTCGTGGCATGGAAAGTCGGCTAGCCTGACGTCCACACAGCAATACCATGACATGCACTTGCGTGTCCGTAGGGAGGATATAACGAAACTTGCCGAAACAAAAGAAGAGGATGAGCAAAAATGTAAGTCACACAATACAGTGAAACCTGAATCCTGTCTAAGGCGACCCCTCGGCTCAAGGGACGAGAAAAAGTGGTCGCCGTGGCCAGGTGGTCTTCTTATCCAGGTTCAGTGGGTCACGTGACCATATCCACATGTGATGCATCATTTTGATTAGTGTATCACACAGTGCACACACCTATGCTACTCTACAAGTAGCGCTACTCATGTGCCTGCCATGGCCTGAGGTCCTCAGATCTCAGTCTCAAGTGTCGTGCATGCACCATGCACATCTACGCTTCCTGCAATGATGTGTACATCTACATGTATGCATTGCATGGTGCACCATGCAATGCATACATGTACCACGGTGCAACGCGGTCGCGGGTGGGTGGTCGTCGGTCGCGGGTGGGTGGTCGTCGGTCGCGTTGAGCGAGTGGTCGCCTAATCCGAGCTGTTTTGAATGTGAATGCGTCCGTGACAAGGAAAAATGGTCGCCATGGTCGAGCGGTCGCCATTACAGGTTTTACTGTACATGCAATTCACAGCCCAATGTCAACGGAACCATCCAAGAAAGGCTCTATCATGACAGTGCCAGTACTTGACAGCTGCCCTGCATGAAGAGCAGGCTGGACGATCGGAAGCCAGCAGGTGAGAGAGGACGGCATGCTCCTTTTTACTCGATACTGTGAGGCTGTTATTTTGCACTCTCTGTGCCTCCTACAAGTGACTTACCACGCGCAGCTGAGTGGGCTCAGCGGAGAACTGTGTCACTGAATCTTTGCGGCGGGCACTGTCTGTAGCTGAAACCGTCAAAAAGTGGCTCCAAGAGTCTGTCTCTACTTCCTGAAGCACATACGTTGGGTTGACAGGCTGAAAGCATACAGCAACAGTTGAGATTACACACACATGGGTTAGAACTAGTAACACAGTAGAGATTGCACACATGGGTTAGAACTTAGAACTAGTAACACCGTAGACCGTTGTATGAACACTGTAGTCATGTGATCAGTTTGATCACATGACTACAGTGACTCCATACATGTACTACTGTACAACACTGTGTAGTCTACTGTTATGTGAATTACATCATCATTTGCATGTATGCTTTATCATGGAGTGGCAGACTCATGTGTGTGTGTGTGTGTGTGTGTGTGTGTGTGTGTTTGTCTCTCTCTCTCTCTCTCTCTCTCTCTTCTCTCTCTCTCTCTCTCTCTCTCTCTCTCTCTCTCTCTCTCTCTCTCTCTCTCTCTCTCTCTCCCTCCCTCTCTGGTCCTCTATCTCTCTCTCTCCTCTCTCTCTCTCTCTCTCTCTCTCTCTCTCTCTCTCTCTCTCTCTCTCTCTCTCTCTCTCTCTCTCTCTCTCTCTCTCTCTCTCTCTCTCTCTCTCTCTCTCTGTCTCTCTCTCTCTGTCTCTCTCTCTCTCTCTCTCTCTCTCTCTCTCTTTCTCTCTCTCTCTCTCTCTCTCTCTCTCTCTCTCTCTCTCTCTCTCTCTCTCTCTCTCTCTCTCTCTCTCTCTCTCTCTCTCTCTCTCTCTCTCTCTCTCTCTCTCTCTCTCTCTCTCTCTCTCTCTCTCTCTCTCTCTCTCTCTCTCTCTCTCTCTCTCTCTCTGTCTCTATCTCTGTATGTCTGTATGTCTGGTGCCACTTCATACAGAGCAACTCAAATGATAATGTGATCGCATAACCTCTACTACAATCAAGCACATGTACAAGTACCTCGTTGGTGAAGTTCATAGTACTGCGGGGATGGTCTGAATTTCCTCTCACTTTCCATGCCCCCGTGCTTGGCCCACCAAAGTGCTCACGGCCAACCAGGCATTGGCGAGCGGAGTTGTTGAACAGTGGAACCTCCTTGTAATTGTAATGGGCTTGCATGACAGGGTCTGGTTTGCCGGAAGAACATGTCTGCAAAGGAGAAAAGGTGGACAGCAAAGGGAAGCTCACTACATGCCATTACATATCTTTTTGTAACAGCATTGTGTAACAGTGAAACATGGTTTCTCTCAGCCCAGCAATGATGCATACAACGAAACATCATTGGTTACATGGGCTTGCGCATGCTGAGTAAGCATTCCTGTATTTAGGAGTTTTCTGCAACAACAAAAGAACATCCAAATGACGGTTGAGTGTGCAGGCTGGGCATGATCAAGTTCCGACGGGAATCGTCGCAATGCCTTTCTTTACAAGCAACTGACTAGGGTTTACTTGCTTTGCCTCAACTTGCACCTACCCACAGTGAATAACACAACGCAGGCCGAGACACCCACAGTGAATAACATAGGCCGAGACACCCACAGTGGATGACAAAGAAGACCTGTAGCTGTATCCTGTAGTACTTGGAGATCTCACCTGGCGTGCATGCACATGAATACTCGGTTGTTCTGGATTGCCAGATACTATGCGAACAAGATAATCTACTGCGGTGGCAGAAGAAGAGAGCTCGTTGATGTCCAAACCACGCTGTTCTAATCGCCTTGCTGATCCTTATGCAGAAAAGAGCAGTGGGATTACAAGAAAACAGATATTGAATCCGCCGGCACACATTGACGGCAACCTACAGGGCTGCTCTGGACATGGTAAACTGAGATTGGTATGATAGCTTATGAACAGTGTAGCACACACTATGACAGTGCAATGTGCACTCACCTTGCTTGTCTGGAAACAGTATTGCTAGGGGCAAGCCAGTGAGCAGATCTGGTTGAACCGCCGATTCCAGTACTGAACACAAGACCAAAGAAAAACAGGTAAGAACGGTTCATCGGATTGTTTGACTGGCAAGACAACGTAATACTGTAAGACCAGTAATGTTAACGAATATTTAATTGTAACGAGTTAACGAATTTGAACGAATCATTGAAAATATTCAAAGTCGTTTTGTTTAAAACGATATATACATGTACAGTCATTTGCCGCTTTTGAGACAGAATTCGTTAGAATTTCACCTCGTTAACCCACCAAAACCCGGAGATCGTTAACTTTAATTGACGTTAAAATATCTGGTCTTACAGTATTGACTTATTTGATTATCAGTGCCCAGTACATGAAGACCATCTCCAGACTAGCCGTGTGTTGACCTTGTTAGCCTTCAGCAGCAAAGCTCAGAGTCACTGGACAAAACCTTCCGAATAACAAAGCACCTTTTAAAACGTTCACGTCCGCTCTTATCATCAAAGTCCGACTGCTCCCGAGTACAAGAAATCATACAGCGAGGTGTGTGCAAAGGCGGGAAATTGTGACGGAAACAGTGCCGGCAACGAATGCCTATAAAACTAAGACAATGGGTGGGAGAGTGATACAGTACCTTTGGACTGCTATTTTCATACACTACAAGCTTAAACGTGTGTAGTGTATGATACATAATACAATTGTCTACACATTATGTAGAACCGACGTAATTATAGTATGTGTTCCACATGTACGCGGTAATATCCAATGCTGTAGACAGCAAGCTGTTTCGGCCATATAGGCCTCATCAGTACAGCTACGAGCTTTAGGTAAGCCGAGCTACCAGCAATGGTGCAAAGGAGGCACCACAGAAATTTAGATAATGCGTCGCTCTAGCGGCAGAGTGCTCTAACTATGAAAAGTAGCCAGCGATGCGCAATGCAGCAGCACTAGAGCAGCCTACCGAGAGTGCTCAACAAGACGAATGTCGAGGAGCTAAAATACCCAATGCTGTAGACAGCAAGCTGTTTCGGCCATATAGGCCCCATCATCGTACATGGTAATACAGTGGACCCCTCTTCAGTGATAGGTTACCGCGGCATGGAGACATGCATGCCATAGATGTACACAGCATGCTAGGAAGCAGGCAGTTTACCATCAATCCGACTTGGAAATCCGTCCATACTGCTAGCCAGGTATTGACACTTATCTTGGGTATGGTTTGGTCCGTGACTATCCACGGACATTGCAGCAAACTGTTTGCATTCAATGCCAGGGTCACGGCTTGACACTGGGCACATACCTGCTCCAGAGCATGCTGAGTCAACCACTCCAAACCGCATGCCAGGAATAACCCCTCGCTTGGTGAGGTTCGATGAAAGCCTCTCAAGCAACTGGATCAGATGGATCGATAGAGTAATCAGCTGAAGATCTCCATTGCAGTTTACAAATACTACTATCCATGGATGTTCACCGTTGACATACGAAGAGAATGTTTCCTGCCAGAGATGAAGCAAATGAGAAAATAGCCGATGAGCTCCCGAAGTATGTCAGGCCTTCGGCTCTTGTTTGCAAAATGAATTGTCTGCTAGGCACACCTTAGTACGTGAAGTAAGGAATAAGTGGTTTTGTTGGTGAGATGCACATACCCTGGATATGACTATTTCCCCCAAGAGACTACACCCCATATCAAGTCAATGCCTTTCTTCTCCTACCCAATGACTCTGTGAGCTATGCAAGGCCAATGCAGTGCACAGCACTACAGGTGGATTGCAGGCAGTCAGCTTACGGTTGTTAGGAGTACGGGACTGTTGCCGCTCATGATAGCGTGCAGTTGGAACCGCAGCATTCCCGGTGCGTCAAAATCGAACAGCATCTTACCACCTGCCGCAGACAGAGCCATGATAACAAAACAGACACAGCACGCCGGACCTATCACCTTACACAAACCGGCCAATATAATTCTATTTCAAAGTACGGGTATCCACTGAGCCAACATATAGCTATCAGTACGGTATAAATGACATTGTACGACGATCATGCGGCATCTAGAAAACGGCAGTGAAAAGCAGTTGGGTACAGTCAATGATCTTTGAGCTGAGGCCAAGCATCTCACCAACAGATCAGTGGAAGTACCCTATGTGAATGCATACGAAACCAGAAAGTGTAGCATAGCCATGTCCCACATGGCATTGCCACGCGTGTGCCGGTCACACTGCCTCATGCTAGGCTGATAGCCCGGTACTTACTGTGTTGTGTGTTGACAAGCCAAACAGCACCGCTAGACCACACATGACCAGTGTTGTCATCGGATATCAGACTACAGGGGACAGTGACAAGAAATGATCAAAAATGGGAGACAAATCATGTGACGGTAACCGAGAGAGCTTCTGTGCATACGACTTTGTGAAGACTACTGCAGACTACACACATTTTCCACGGGTCATGTTGCTACCTGAATGGAATGCGGCAGGTAAAGAAACTAACATGGATCTTACCTTCCTAGTTCTGGGTATGCTGGTGAAACTATGAGGCAGTGTAATACAACATTGTGACAAACCTGGAATCAACAGCCGGGGAGCAAACAACGTACAGAAAACACATGTTTTAAAGTTATGCCAGTCTTTAATGAAAACCACAACACCATGCACCCAGTCAAGTTTATCATTCTTTAACATGAATTATAGTACCACCCGATGCGACTACACGACTGATAGACGCGCTCCCGGTCACTTCAGCATAGCAGCCAACTCAATAATATTAATGAATTGCTTACACAATGTACAGCATCAATATCCCATGCACAAATTCATAGCGGTGTCGTGGCTGGCTTGGCCTGCTTACCCGTGTAAAGTTCTTGAGCAACTCTTCCAACGCGTCGCCAAGCATCACATGTGGTACATAGGCAATCGCACAGAGTTGGCCATCGTCAAGACAGCTGTTGACAGCATTCCTGTCGTCCACTGGAAAAGCATGCAGAAACCTCCGTGACCTCTAGAAGGATAAAGCAGAAGAGAATGACTGCACTCGCACTCACGGACTATCAAAGTGTATCAATAAAGATAAGCAAGGGGAGTCAACAAAGATAATTGTTGCCATAACAGATTATAACTATTGATGGAGGAATTTTGCAGGTGAGGACTATCGATATAATGAAACAAACCTTAGAGCTTTTAAAAATGTTGACGGAAATGTCAAAATATGATATTCGCGAGTTTTTGGTTGCAAGTGCATGTGCAATGCATTGCACCCGCAACCAAAAATTCAAGGACGTTATTTAGACATTTTCGCCAATTTTTGAATTGTTATAAAGCTTTAAGGCACTTTGGAGTAAAATAGATCATTGCTGATACGCATTCAGTTCTGCCAGTCAGAGACATGCCCATCGCCAATAAAATAGATAACTCTGTGAGAGTGCACCTGACAATAAATCACTGGGCTCAAGAGCAAGTGGATTCCAACTAGCTTGTTCCAAGAGCCCTCCCCCCCCCCCCCCCGAGACTACAAGATGGAGGACGGATCCAGAACCTCTCCACTGCTCAGTGACATAATGCACGGTCACTCACATCAGTCAACTGTTGATCAAGCCACACCGATAGCGCTCCAAAGTTGGGCTGGGTGCTAGTGGCCGGCAGATGAAACAAAGAGGAATCAAGTAGGCTTCTGTAACAGACCAGCGCTGGGTATATCCTTGGCATGAACTCTGCAGCAAGCCGACTAGTCTACACAGCAAACACAGACACACAATCACGATGTCTCAACTCGCCAAATCACACACATCCAATCGACGTTGCTTTGAACACTAAATTTCAGTGTTGGTCTGAAGGTGAATGTTACCAATGGTTACAACTGGTGGTGGAGTCATGCACCTGAGTGCTAAAATGAAAGGAAGGAAGGAAGTACAGATAGGAGACCAGTGGAGCTATTCGAGGAAATACGGTCACCCCGGCTTGAAACTAAGGCTAATTTTGGACAAAAGCTTAGTCAACCAATACAATGTATGCCTGGGAGTGGAGCTTCATGGACACTAAATGATGCCTGCAAAAACACAGACAACCCCTAATGCATGTCTGAAAATAATGATCACAGTGGTACGTAACCTAGTTGTACAAAGTGAGGTTTCCGCTGTGACATCTTAGCGCTCTGTTCTCACATGATCTCGAAGAACCGTATACATGTCAGGACTGCCGGAAGCAGTTTTGGATTGGTTCGGTAGGGTTTCAGTGCCTTTCATACCGTTTGTGTATGATATGGCGGGTACACATGCCTTCCATAGTAGTTAACATGTGTGGGTGGATAAAATGTTGGTACGGTGATAACCTGACCAACAGGACCGGTTCCGGCGGCCCTGCATGTTTTTTTTTTTTTTTTTTACTTTGTTTTACTTCGCAAAATCCAAACGGGAATTTCTTCCCAATGACAAGGTAGTGAAGATCTTAAGAGGGAAGACAAGAGAGAGAGAGAGAGAGAGAGAGAGAGAGAGAGAGAGAGAGAGAGAGAGAGAGAGAGAGAGAAAGGAAATAAAAAAGTGTGTATGTATAACCTTGATTGCTACATTCACATGCCCCGGCCCCATGCAAGCCATGCCACACATACCAGATACTAGTTACAAGTTGGCAGTACACTGGCTCACTTACACTGATCGATGCAGAGCTAACAGGTTCCCGTATATAGCTGGCGCTAGGAGCATGGCATGTGTAGAACACCATGTTCTGGCCAACAGCATGTCGCTGGTGCTGAACTAGAGATATTGCCGTCCCAATGGCCGCCTCTTTCTTGACCTGAGAGCTCTCTGTCCCTGGCCAACAACAAGTTTCAGACGCATGGAATTACTTCGATATGAGGAGAAAAGGGTGTTGCTTTGTAGGTAAGAGACAATGCACTAATATGAGCACACCTTTGCTCCGATTTCTGGTCAACAGATGCTGGAGTGACATACAGCAATGGTATAGCATAGCGATATCTGATTATGTCAAGCGCCCTTGCTCCGCCAAAACCAGTGGAGTGATATATGAATACATGGCACGTTGTGCCCCGTGATGTACGAGTAAGTTGTATAGAGGTTGTGCAAACGATGTCATGGTGATAAGTCAGCGGAGTCGCCTATGGGTACTACGTATACAGAGTGAGTCGCTAGTGAGTCGCTAGTGCATAGCTGTGCCGCGACCGTTTGCCAAAGCATCTCAACTGATTATGCAATCGCACAATCTCCATGCAGCTGTGGCATGAGATTCCAATCCCTTTACTTCGGTATAATTATAATTGTCTGCTACAACATGCGTGAAATCTTCACTGTATCATTGTGTATGCTCAGACATGTGCTCAGACATGTGGTGGGTGATTTATGTTAGTACTATACTAGCCATGGCCCATGTGGGATCTGCTTTTTTGTGAGAGAATCTCAAAGTGTACGTTGAACCCTACATGTACGCCTTTGCGGAATGCAATGCACGCCACCATACCATGGCCACGTAGATCTACGATCAATAGATCATGATAATTATGATGGTAGATACCTGCTATGAATGAGCCGGAATGGAAGTAGACACAGACTTGCTGCGCAGGCTGCGCCTCCCCCACCGTGGTCAGCAACTGTTCGGGCGACTCTATGCGATCCTTCCAGGGCTTTACCTGCCGCCATGCTGAGCCTTGTTGAGACTGAGAACCGACTGCCAGCACCCATGATGGCCATAGCCATACGACCTGGCATAGGAGCAGCTGAGCAGCAGCCAGTCGCAGGACTATGCTACTAAGATGAACCGCAGAGGTCAACGACATCAGCCTCCGAGGGCGAGGAGTTGTCTCGGTGAAATCCTCCATTACCGTCGGCTTTCATTCGATGCGCTGTTCCTGCCTCGACTACCGCTCACGCCACGATGCCGAAGCCTCAAGCCTCAACCAGCACCTCAGTGAAGGCGGCGCAGTTTTCTATCCGCAGATACTGTACGCCGGCATGGGCTGCGGCAGTCAGCCAGTTCTATCGTAGTGTGTCGTCTCCTCAGCTCAGAGGGGATCGTCCTCGGCTTGTTCTTCCGTCACTTTTTTTTTCATTGAACTGTCGATATGTCGGAGTCGATCGACAAGCGTCGACTTGCATCGGCAGACTTGTAAACCTGTTGAGTCATGAGTGTTGAGTGTAGTGTAATCATGGACTGGTAATGCTCGATCAAGACTGACAAGAGAACACAGGTTGTCGACATACACACCCCATGCTATTGCTAGCTAGCTGCTGTCGGTTTACAATGATTTAATTGGGGTCCAGGGCGTAGCTAGCTACCCGTATCCTTCGATCTACCATGCACGTGGGCTGGCCTGAATAGGTTGAAACAATCAAAGGTTCGATTGAAGAAGGATCCACGGAAGGTTGCGATTGTGTTGAAGGGAGGAAAGTTTCTTCGTTTCTACAGCATCTACTCAACACCACCGTGATCAGTTTTCTGTTCGGTGCAGCATTCTCCTCTGATTCAAAGACTCTCTCAGTCTCCGTCTGCACCGTTGGTTTCCTAAATCCGTTTGGGATAAGGATTTCCAAATGTCGCCACCGCTGTTATTTCGGATCATTGGTGTTCGCCTGGCAATGGATCACTGAATACTAGCGGGGGGGAACAAAAACATCGTTAGCCGACCCGGCCATGGCCGAATGTCAATGACCGAGCATGTCAATGGGTTGCTGCTGACACCCGCAACGGTGAAGAATGAAATTTGCCGGAGATCTTCGCTGCAGGGACTCACAGCGCGGCGACTCGCTGCTGCTTGTGGGTCAGAAGTGCCTCTGCCAGCTGCTGGACTGCGTTGTTCAGATGCAGCTTATTCAACGATACCGACTGGCTTTCCCCGGCGAAGATTTATCGGACCCATCGGCCGAGGCTGAATCTGACACGGGGAGCACCCAAACTGAGGGACAACGTTCCCAAAACCAGGAGACAGCTATACCGGAGGAAAGGCTGAGGAGAAAGACTGGATCTCCTCCTCCAGGTCAGCTTGACTCTGGGTTACAATCGCGGTGCAATGACCAAGCAACCAGTTCCCCCGTGGATGCTGAAGATGACGAGGAAGACACTAAACGGCATGTGTTAGTGGAGTATTGGATGGCAATCAACACCGATGAAGCCTGCTTGACCGATTTCGAGGCCAAGTCAGATAGGTTCCACCTGAAGCGCAAAGTGGTGGTCAAGTCAAACCTAACGAAAGTCGGCCCGGCGAAGAAGATCAGCACGGTTTCTTTCAAGGACACAAAGGAGACACCAGTGTCCAGTGCGAGCAGAACGAATGTCCGATTACCACCTATCGGGGGCAGCACTGGTACTGGCAGGAGCAGCACGGTGACTGGGAGTACACAAGCTGCTGGTAATGCTAGGCTGACAAGACATTCACTGGGTAGTGCCAGCCAGTCCAGACTGCAAGTAGGCACAAGCAATGGCACTACAAGTGATAAGACCACAGGTATTATGGAGGCCAGGAGCAATGCTATAAGGACTAGACACTCGCTAACGAGCCTCAGCCAGACTAGACTACGCCCAGCCGTTGCCAGCGATGCCAGTACAGTGGAAGGCAGGAATGGCGATAGGGCAAACATGCTGCGCAGTTCCAGCAGATCAAGGATTTCGATCAGCTTGCCGAGGGACGGAGGAAGTAAAACACCGAATGAAAAACGCCGTCATGTGACAGCCATGGCTGCAGAGGATGCCCTGCCGCTGACCAGCAATATTGCCAGGACCTTCCTCAAGGAACTAAACCTGTCCGATGCTGAGGCTGATGAGCTGGAAAATTCCGAGGTGTGCTGCTATCGATTTCTGCTTGGTCCCGTGTGTAACGGTGCTGAGATCGAGGTAACGGTGACATACATCTCATTGGCCTGTGTTGTGAATGACTGGATCGAGATCAGCCTGCCAACCAGAGTTCACTCTCTGAAGAGATTCCACCCGAGGCGTAGAAGACCTACAAGGGCTAAGCCCACTTCGCAGCAATCCGAAACAACATCAACAACTGGTACTGGTGAGGAGTTGAAGTTCCGACCAGCTGAACAGAGCGCGACATTGAGCACCAACTCCGGCACATCTAGCAAGATGGATGTGGAACTCAAGAGCCCCTCGCCATCTCCCAGTAGTGAAGAGGGTGGCACGTCGGATGGGAAACCGGCGGACAGAGTCATAAAGAAGTTTCGCAGCGCGGTCGAGTATGGAGTAAGCGCCAGCCTGAAAGCGATCCTGCCCGGGGAAGTCACGTCATTGCTATCGCCGAGCCATGGAGAGCAGGTCAGCATCAGGACGTATGGCTCAAACTCACATCGTGCTGCCATGGAATATGGTCCGGAAATCGGCACGAGGCCATTGCCGAGCGACATCGTGCTGAAAGTACAGCACACGAGGACCGGTCGGCCATGCGCTACATTGCTGGAGAAGCCTCAGGGCTGTGGCATTGCATCGGCAGCCATGCTCTCCGTGGCTGCACCCAACTTCACCGGTGCCCTATCAGCCGCAGTCGCAGGTCACACGCCACAGCGGCATCATTGCGGTGAGTACATCTTCATGATTGATCAGAGCGGCTCCATGGCCACCGTCTTCACCCAGACCCTACTGCAGCAAGCGCAGGGCCGGACTAGCGGCAGATCTAGGAGCTCACCGCCTGCCCGAAGCTTCATGGACCAGGCGAAGTCTGCGCTGCTCTTGCTGCTCAACAGCTTACCTGCATCTTGTTTCTTCAACATCATCGGTTTCGGTTCACGGCGACTGCGTCTCTTCAAGCAGAGTACAAAGTACACTAATGAGACATTGAACGCGGCCAGAAAGCATGTCTCAACGCTGACCAACAACCTTGGCGGCACAGATCTGCTGCGGCCGTTGACGGAAGTGCTAGAGGCAAGGCCGATACTCGGAGAACGTGCCCTGCGTTGTGTGTTTGTGCTCACGGACGGGGCTGTCTGCTCGGCCGATGTGGCGGACATGCTCCAGCTAGCCAGGTGCCACGCAAAGCACACTCGTATATTCTCGCTGGGAATCGGCGCGATGGCAGGACGAAAGCTGGTGCGTGGTCTGGCAAGAGCCGGCAACGGCACCAGTGCGTTCGTGACATCCTCCGGTCAGGACATGGCAGAGGTGGTGGTGCAGCAGTTGAAGGAAGCGCTGCGGCCGCCGTTGATGGCACCGTTGGTCGACTGGGGACCGCTACGCGTCATGCATCAGTACCCTCAACGGGAGAACCTCCTCCCCGTGTTCCCAGGCCGGCCATATACCGTACTTACACTGTTGCATGCAAACAGCCCAGTGCGTGGCAACGTCAAGCTGAAAGGTGTTGTGCACAATGTAGACATGGAAGAAACCCTGGCGATCCGGCCCACCCAGACAGATCTCCGGCAGCGCTGGAAGCTTCTGCATCAGTTCATCTGCTCGCAACGACTCGGCCAAATGCAGCTAGAGGCCAATGATCGGTTTGCCACAGCACCGCGACTGGAGAGGAACCGGCTGTTGCAAAAAGACAACGAGGAGCTTGCCGCATTTTCGATTCAATACCAAATTCACTGTCAGGCTACATCGGAGAAGCTTGTCAGCATGCTGAGTGCAGCAGATACTTCAACTACACCCAACATTGCTGATGATCTCTTCATGGACTGTGTCCGCCTTTCTCCCAAAGAAGACATTGTCAGTGAGGAGAAGCATGATCTGAAAACAACCACGGGCACCACAGCAGCAGCAACAGCGGGAGCAAGTAAGCAGACATCCAGCTCCGGCCAATCAGTCAGAAGCAATCCTAGCAGCAGCAGCAGCAGCAGCAGCAGTGCATCGCAAGCTTCGGTGGCCAGTTCTCGCAGGGATCCTCTGCAGGTCGTGCTCAACTTACAGCAAGCCAGCGGTCTATGGAACAGTGGTGTGGATGACGTGGCTGACCTTCTGGCTGTTACCCGCTCCCTGCTGCACAAGGACAGCAAGCTGGTACAGGACACGCAGCGGTGCATTTCCACACGCTCTGGGCCAGGCTGGTCAGCCAACGACGATGTCTGGACAAGTCTAGTTGTCATGTCCTACTTGAAAACCTACTGCAGCGCGCAGAGAGACTCGCTCAACATCATACTGGATAAATGCAAGCTGGCAATCGCTGCCGTCCTTCAGCAGACACCGTCCAGTGCAGCGGCCGACACTACGGTACCTGCTGCTGGACATGATGAGCACCCGAAACAGCTCAGTAGCATGCTGGATATAGTGACCGAGCTACTGAAATCCGCTGTCCACGAACAGCTGGAGCAAGTGAAACGAGATCGAGCTGCAGAGATCTCGTAACGATAGTAGGCACGCACACTCCCATCATGAACTTTGGACTGCTTCCATGTGCAGTGCATGCATTCAGCTTTCTGCCCACTACAAGTACGTGTACAAGGTCAAGCCAGTAAAAAGGACGATCTACGGACGGATCTGCACCAAATAGAAACTGCCTTACTCATCACAGTTGAACACGCAATAATACTCTTCATATCATAATGGCACATACTAGTATGGTATGGTCGTGTGGTGCAAACCTCTAACTAAGGACCACCTGTAATAATATTATTACTATACTTCAAACTTTTCAAAGTATGCAATCCAGGTGTGAGTTGATTGAGATGTACAATGTTGATCATACTACTCGAAGTATCTTGATCTGCCTGAACTATTTATTTCTATTTCATTATTTGACAAAGTTTGAAGAACGCATTGTTTCGTCCAGTGCAAATCCATCAAGGCAGCTCATATTTCAAAATACAAACCTCAACCACAAACAGTTGGTTGAGGATTTTCCTTTAGTGAACAAAGACATTGTACATTCGTACAGGCTCCATATGCGCATGCAACCAGCACACAAAAGCAATAGGTGCAATAACAAGTTCACGACCCATGGCTTAGCGCATACGGCGAGAGCATGTACTTCAGTACAAGAATCTGGGCAGAGACACGACTGTCAGACCACGGGCGGTTTAGAGCGAGAAATCGGCCACCACTCTGTTCAAGTGTGATCATTAGCAGTCTGTTCAAGGGCCATTATCACTGTGTCGAAGAATGTGAAAGCCGTGCAAGGCTATCGTGAACCAATAAATGACATGCTCTGGGCATGCAGGCAAGGAAAATTGGCTGTGATATTCGCAACAGAGAAAAGAAAAGATCTAGCAGTAGTCCAGATGCGAGACGCATGGTTAGATGACCACCCACACACACACACTAGTTAAAAAAGGCGACGACCTCAGGAGAGTCGAGTGCTTCTGCCATTTAGTTCTCTGACTTGTAATGGTCAAGCCTGCAGAAATGAAGACGCCAGAACACACGGATGTACATAAGCAACCAGTCCACACAATTACTGTAAAACATGTAATTTTAGGTGCATTCAAATTTTGGTGCCAGAGACCTGCCAGGTTTCAAGTGTAATTTAGAATTAGGTGACCAGCATTCCCTTCACATACAGTGCATACTCTAGTGGCTTTTAGGTGTAATTTAAATTTAGGTGCCTGGTTTCTCTACCGAAATTAAAGTTACACCGAAAATTACGTGTTTTACAGTATACTGTAACACACTGTTGATCTGCTACTTGTCGAATTCCTACCTGGTAGACAGTCATGATTCATGATGATTATATACTAGGATCAATCTGTTGTGCATATACATACACACAGATCCACACCTATCCCCCCCCCCCCCCCACACACACACATACAAAATGACTTAAAATGTACACATACAAAAAATGCACACACACACACACACACCACACACACACAGCGGCATGGCAAAGTGGCCAGTGGCAAATAGAGCGACAGACAGCTCACCTGAACAGCATAGCCTTTCCCCTGTCATTTCCCATTGCCATATATTCACTGCTTGGCGAGAATGAGAGGCACTGGACCGAGGCAAGTTTGGACTTGAGCTTTGGCCAGTTGGAGAATACGCTCATCGATGGGAAATGTGTCTGTGAAAAAACACACAAATGCACACATACCTTTCTGATTCACACCGGGTACTAGACTGTCACAATGGCAGAATACTGTACTGTAAAAGCCTTATCGAGGAGAAATCTGTCGTTAAAACAGAAAACGTTGTATAGAAATCACTACATAATACTCTCGCGAGCGTTGAGGATGAGTGAGAATCGTAATCTTTGGTGCACGTAATCTGGTCAATTTTATGAAATCCTTATATTTGCAGCTCGTTAGAATAATTTACGTGCTTTCACAAAAGAATGCAGGCACTACGTCATATGATTCGGTAAGGTACAACCGCTGAAAGTAGTGCTCTGAGAGGCTATGCGTCTGAATGAATGCAGGAATGGAGCAAGCTACAGCAGAAACCCTACAATAGTACAAAAGCCAGCAGTGAAAAGGAGTCGGCATGCCTTACCAGTCGCAAGCCTTGTTCCATACGTCGCGATGTCATGGCAAGGATTTCACTGCACAAGACAGCACCAGCAAACACCCACGCCCACAGCACAAGATCACATTAGCAACAAGTTTAAAATTTAGGGCTGAAACGATTATACCAATTACTCGGCAAGCGATCGATAATTCCTTATCAATCAAGTAATCGTTACGTTATAGATTACTCGTTAGGAATTTTGAGTCCAAAAAGTACTGAAAACCCTCGTTTTGTGAAGTTTGAATCAGTTTCCACTGTGAGTATGCAGTTGCCAGCGGCATGGTGTATATTCTGAGGTTAAATTGACTTCAAAACTGCCATGTTTTGGAGCTACCCTGTCACTAATGCAGATTTTTGGTATTATGAAGGCCTAGCTTTTGGAAACAGGATAATTTTTGCACAAAATGCTGACGCTATTTGCTAAAGATTATAATTGATTACTCGATCGTTAAGCTAAAGAGTAATCGACAGGGGAAAATCCACGATCGTTTCAGCCCTATTAAAATTAGAACCTGAAAGAAAGAAACACATTGAGGAACATACCTAAACCAAGTGTAACCGTGTACACGTGTTTAGAAGCAGGTATGCTGAATGTGTTGTGCACTGTGCAGGCGCGTCGGACATGCTACAGTATTGACCGTACCACTCTTTGCCCCAGATACCTCGTGAATCAATAAACACACTGATTTGGGATTCAAATTTCGGAAAAAATGTTCTGCGGAGGCACCCACCTCTCAACAAATATGATAGTGCCTCACTGTTAGATGGCTGGCAGTACCACCCTATATTACCTTCCGACACCCCTGTATGTACACATGTACACATATCCACAAGGAACTAGACAGGTAGCACACTAGTACTAGTATAGCAATACAGCAATACAGTGAACAGCAATTTCGACTACCGTATTTTCAGCAATACTGGCCGAGGCGCTTAGTAGCAGTTTGCGCGCCCTAACATTTCACCAAATTGGAAAAAAATCCACACAAAAGTCATGACATTATGTGGCGCTTTATTAGTAGTTTGGACAGGCGGCAATAAAAGAGCGGCGCTAATTTCTGAAAATGCGGTACTCCGGTGACTAGATACTAGTACATACCCAGTGTGGTTGTACTGCAGCGAGCTGGCGCAGAACGGGGCCAGGTTATTCAGCGTTTGCAGCGGCTTGGGCTCATTGTTCAGGAAACAGGAGCCATCGTAGACATTCACAACCCCTGAAGAACTTCTGTAGGTGACAAGAAAACATAGCACATGATGCTGAAACAATTAACGTAAAAGGAAAACATAAATAAGTAGCACATCCGCGTTACCACCGGCCATACAATTGTGTTTAGAAACACAACCAGAAACTTACGGGACAAGATCCAACAAACATTCGCAGATGAGTCTGATATCACAAAAAGCTAGCTTATCCCGCACACTGTGCGAGCGGATGTGCATACCCGGTATCCACATCGTGTACCTGCATGTATGTGTACGTGTAGTCAACATCCTGTACACTGCATGCATATGTGGTCCACATGTTGTACACTGCACGCATAAGTGGTCCACATGTTGTACACTGCATGTATGTGTAGTCCACGTCTTGTACACTGCATGCATATATAGTCCACGTCTTGTACACTGCATGCATGTGCAGTCCACGTCTTGTACACTGCATGCATGTACGTGTGGTCCACGTATTGCACACTGCATGCATGCTTGTACTAGTAGATCACGGACCATGCAGTGACAGGTTGCACTTACCCGCATGCTAGAAACTTCTTGTCAGGCGAGACGGCCAGCGATGTTAGATGGAAAGAGCCCTCGTCCATGAACGAGTGGCAGCACGTGCGTGACTTCATGTCCCACACGTACACACGCCCATCACCTGCCATATTAATAAGCACAGAGAACAACGTTTAAATTGAATCAACAGACCGTCAACACTGCACGGCTAGACTGGCTGGGAATAAGATGAACACGTGCACATACACCTGGCCAACTGTTGTCTTATTCGTGCACGAAACAAGACTACAAAAATTATAAGTCCCGCTTGAGATGATGTGTTTACAAGTGCAATGCCAACGCGAAAAATAGGACGGCAAGAACGTTGATGATGACAACAGCAATGACAACAGCAATGGCACCCCCACCACCACCACTGGCAACAAGATCGCAGGAGTAAACATTTCCAACAATGGACTCACTGCCAGCTGAGAGAAGTTGTTCTCCCGAAGGAGTGAAGGCCATTGCAATAGCGGAACCACTCATCCGGCACGTTCCAACTAGCTGCTTCGACTGTAAAACAAGGAACACGTGAACACCAGAAGCAGCACAATGAACAACAACTGGTAGGGTCGAGTACTAAGCGTAGGAATAGCAAGACTCTTTCCACAAGGAAGTGAGCAGAGGGAAGCATATGCTAGATTGGGTGGAAGGATTTGTTGGTTTGACAATTTAAAAAAGAAAGAAAGATCACACAAGACTCCCAAAAACATGGGTCAGTTTTTTCGAGACATCAACTCCGCGTGTTCATAGTGAAAGCAGTGCAAGAGTAACACACTTACCTTGTTCGACACAATCAGGACACTGCCGTCACGTCCTGTGAATGCCAGGAATTCATTGTCCGGGGAGATGGCAAACACCTCAAAGCTTTTCTCTTGTCGACCTAGGCAAAGCACCAAGATCCATGGAAAAAAGGAACATCCATTCAGCATTACATCTTGTGACGAATCAAGCAAAGCTCACAGGGCTGGATAAGGAAACAGAAGCGCGGGTCAATGTATACGTTGGATATCCTGGTCCATAACAGAGCAACCGTTACAACAGCATTTGCCCTCTGTTGCACGAAGCACCGTAACGACCACTCACCCCACATGCCTGCATTCTGCATAGCTTTGTTCGAGGCTATGTCGTAGGTGTAGAAGTATGACCGGCGCGAACTCATGATGATCTGGCTTCCGTCAGGCGTGAACTGAGCCGAATGAATCGGAAAGTTCTTCATGAACATGCTGTGAAGGACGGGGTTATCTTCATTGTTCACCTACGTAACCAAACACACACAGTTACAGCAAATACGTTGAAATAACGTCACAGTAAGTAGCAAATAGGTGCACACATGCAGACAGACATAGCACAACAAATAGGCACACATGCTCCACACAACAATTGACCACACAGACCACAATAACATGATGTCACACACCTGTGCTTCCATGCCCTATAATACACCTCATGATCCAGGCCCCAGCCCTGCAGTTGGCCACTGGAAACAGGCCAAACGACGATAAATGCAGGATGACATAAGTCTCAAATGATGGGAAAAGTGGAAATGGCATCAACAGTCAATTTACCTGGTAGAGCTTCAACTGTTTGTGTAGGCCAGCGGTCAGCACAACAGGTGCAGAAGGATGGAAGTGAATAGACTGGATACCAGCCTGGATGCAGCACACACATAATGGGTAAACAACAAAATTAAGTATATCAGAGATCGAACACGTGTAGGAAATTTTTAACGGATACAGCTCCATTAGAATGCATTCACCGTAGAGAAAATAAATTGAACTGACAGTGCTGGCTACAAAAGTATTTATTTCTTACATCTGGGCGTTTCGAGAAATTGATATCCTTTTCCCGGCAGATCTCAATGACGTCCTTGGGCAGCATGGAAACTTTGCCAGCCAGCATCGGCTGTGTGCGCTGCAGAAGATCCACTTCCTCACCACCCTCAGATCCTTGACGTGGGGGTAGGCACACGAGGAAAAAACAGACCAACATGACTGGAAGCCTTAGCTATATCTAGCGGTAACTAGCAAAGCGAACAAGCACGATCTACAAATACAGCAAGAGTCTGTGACAACCAAACAGCAAGCGGACAGACCTCTACCGCGAGACGATCATATCATTATTTCATCGAAACCGGGCTCAACATGTAACACCGCAGGCATTGGTTTCTCTGCTGCAAAATACATACATGACAGGTCAACATGCTCAACACATCAACGAGAACCAAACTAAAGAAAAGGTAGCGGCAGTGTTACAGAGGTCAACAGGCAAAACTTGGCCCATACCTTCTCCGAACGAACGAACTGCGGGCAAATCGGCCCAAGATGGAGCACCAGACACTTTCGTAAATCTACACAGAGAGAGAGAGAGAGAGAGAGAGAGAGAGAGAGAGAGAGAGAGAGAGAGAGAGAGAGAGAGAGAGAGAGAGCCACAAGGTCAACGGAAGTACAATCACCGATTGGGTGGTGAAGGGGAGGGATGGAGCAAACCCAGACTAGACAGAGCTAGTACAAGGTATCGCAAGCATGATATACAAAAGTGCAATAATACCATCACTGCCACACTGTACAGTAATATCCAGGCAATGGTCAACAGCATAAAGAGACATTTGCTCCACTAAAAACTGGGAGTCTGCCGGAAGAGATAGGAGACGCTGTAGGACATCCAGTAAAACAACGTACTGTCTCCTTAGCCTCTCCGTGTATGTCTGGCCATCCATGACGTCCTCCTCAACTTCATTCCGAAGCTTCTTGGTGCGAGCCTTTGCAGTTACGTCAACTCTACATGAAGAGGAGAGAACATTCACAGTTAGGCAACACGATGAACACAGTAAACATGTACATAAACGTTGACCAGGGCATAACGTTACATTGGCACCAAAAGCATGAACCACAACAAATTTGTACATATTCTCGTTGCAGCGCTGATTTTGAAGGCATGCCTATAGATTCAGTTAGGATAGCGACGATGACAGTGGCAGATCTACTTGTGATGAACTTGTTCTCAAAGGGCAAAAAAACTTGGAGTCATGTTGCTAGTTCGTGAGGTCAGCCAGAGCGTTTGGTATAGGTGGAATTGCTTCATTGTGATACACTTGTCTTAACAAGTCAACCACATGTACTTGCGTATAAGCAAACAATAAGGATGCAGACTTGTTCACTCATAGAAAGCTGGAGAGATCCCCAGTGTGGCACAGACCATTCCCTCTAACCATACCTAGGATAGTGAATAAATAGGACAGCTGGCGAAGAGACACGGAAGGAATATATATTGGCTCAATGCTGCCACTACTAAATCGGAAAGACGATCAGTAGATCAAAGACGCTCAGCAACTTGTACAAGTACAGAACAAGTCCAGGACTTGCTTTCACATCCCGAGTTGGGCCCCAGGTAACTGGGATTCCGAAGCACTTCATTAGCTCATCACGAGTCGGAGGTGCTATAACGTGTCATGCACTCGCTTTACGAGTCGATAAACCCCTCTCTTGGCATATTCCATTCACTATTTAGTATTTACAATACCCAGTGCACATAAACAAGAGTATTTTGACTATCCAAATGAGGTCAGGAACAGTAGGATTCAGTGTTCATGTCATTCTGATGAGATCATAACAGCAGCCGTGGTCTATACCTGGTAGTCTGGCACTGTACTTACATTCTGTGCAAGCTGTACTGTACCTTGATATCAAGAAAAGTCGCAAACAGCAAACTGCTTTTTGCCCTAACTCATTCCGGGTGCGCATTCTGGCTTACGTAGTGTTGGCTATACCCAAAATACACGTAGATAAACATTTCCTATGTCAACTCACTTCAAAGCTGCATCGTCCTCATCCTCCCATGCCGCTTCGCAATCAGGCAAAGACTTGGAGGCTCTGCGCCGCTTCTTGGCCGAACCATCGTCGCTATCCTCACCATCTCCAGCAATACCATCAACACGATACTGGCAAAAGAGAACACAACACGGTACACAGAACCAGCATGTATTTTTCTTTTTGCGTGCACGATGAATAGCGGAAGATGCAAGAAAGCTTGCATGCAGTAAGAGGGCAGGCTCATCGCAAATCATGACGGCCTGGGGAACAGGGCGGGATAGTGATTATGTTTGTATGCCACATGATCACCGCCAAGCTCACCGCACAATTTAGTTTGACAGCTCCACTTTAATCACCCGACCATATCACCACCGCGCTCTCACAGTGTACTATGGCAACGTGATAAGGTCGGCCAGAGAGTGCTGTGGTGGTGAAGGGGCTGAAGGCAGTTTCCAAAAAACATGTGAGGCGCAAAGCAAGTTGCTGCTGATTTGTCAAGGCACGTTACCATAAAGCACAGCGAGAGCACGCCATCTCTTGGATACATTCATGGTTGTGGTCCTGACTAGGTCATGCAAGTTTCGGACTCGGAACCTTGTGATTCGCAGGAAAGCCCGCAACCACTCGGCCAAAGTGCTGGTCTACTACCTTCCCTTAAATGCATTGTGAGATCTCTGTCTGTCTGTCAGTGTACATTTGTCTCTCAGTATGTATGTCTGTATCATCACTATCATGCAGTAGTAAATTGTCAAACTGCACGACAGGAGCACGACTCGATACTGACGAACATTAACGTTTCGACTAACTCATGTCCTCTTCAAAATGAATCTCTCTCTCTCTCTCTCGGTCTCTCCCTCTCTCTGTGTCTCTGTGTCTCCCTCCCTCCCTGTCTATCACTTCATCTGTCTATAGGAACTTTTTAATGATCCTTGATTCTGCGTTAGTGTCGCAGAAAGCGATGTTCAGAAATTTGAACTTTGAAGTAATTATATCAACAAGGGCATTGTAGCAGGCTTACCAGTTTGTGGGGCTTTGCATCTCTCTCTTGTATAGAGCTTAGAACGTCACCTCCATCACCGAACACAAGTGTCCCCAGAAATGATTCTCGTTCAGCTGGGTCAGCATCTTCCGAAAGGCGAGGTTTGGAGACAGGAGCAGTTGCTCCACCATCGGGGTGACTCCTCTTGTTAACTTTTCGCCTCAGCATAGTGGCATCAGGTCACTCTACTGCACTTTACACAACCTCCAGTATTACTTTGATCAGGTGAGTCCACCACCTTACAAATCTCACAACAATCACTTGCACTTGAATTGAATCAGCCGATACAGGATACTGTATCTCATTTCTCAGTATTTTGTGTGCATGTGCATCAACTTACTTTTCTTGCATATTATTTTTTTGTCTCACGCTAAAAAAAATTCAGTTTTGCGTTTCCCCTCATTCCCAGTTGTGTCCTTGTACCCAGCCGTACCACGCCGTGCCGCGGCCGCATGTATCGCGTTTTCGATTCATTTTTTTCTGCGTCTGCCTAGCGCCCAGCACTGCACTGCCTGCTTGCAGCGCGCTCGCCGGGACTGCACTTCAACCATGGGAGTCGTAAAATACGTATTTTACGACTCCCTGGATTGCATAGCGACGGATCCTGCACCGATCCACGCCCATGCCCATGGCCATGGTGACGATCATGGCGGATCCGGGTGCGTTGCTTGGCGCTCGCAGGCGAATTATTTTTTTGAGTTTCCAACGGGGAGACATAAAAATACCCTGGGATGGAATGGGCCGGGCATGCATGGTCGGTAGGTCTACATAGTATACGAATCGATGATCGATATGGTGTCTACCTTCCGCTTCAGCTTCCGCTACAATGCTAGCGACGAGCTATGCCTGCAATCCGAAGCCACAAGCGCCGCACCAGTTCCAGATCTCCACCGATGGCGATAGGGGGATGAAGAGGGCTAGGCGAATGCGCTGTTGAGACGCCGGCAAGGACGATTGACTTGGCACTTGGACAGAGCCGAGCAATCGGCACCACGGCGTACTCTACTGGTACTGCATGCTCACACGGATGTCGTTAGTATTTTGAGCCGGGCACGGGATAATAATCGATATCGTGACACCGCTTTTTGTCGTCTGAAAATTTCGCAACACTCAGCCTAGATTTCTGGGGACCACCGGACGACGGCGGTGAGTTCATCAGATCAGTGCATTTCTCCTTCTGCGACCAGTTGCCACCCACTATTCTCAGCTAGCAGGTCAGACCCCTGTCCAGGCCTACCACTACCAGGTTTGCTGAACTTTTACTTACTGCAACTGTTGAGTGAAGTTATAACTAAAACGCTTCTGTGTCTGTATCAGTTGGCTGTTCTGACTTTGAACGAGAACTGAGGTTGCAAAGAAATAATTCGTCTTGATTTTAGGCTGCAATGGCGGCACAACCAGCCACGGACAACCACAGTGCTGCGCGGGTTCAGCTCAGAGAGAAATTGCAAGGCTTGCGAGGAAGGTGCGGGAAAGAAGTGAGGGCTAGCGGCGGCTCTCAGCTGCGTTCACATCGACGCGTGGATGACGGAATCGAGCACTGTGTGCGCAAGGCGAGCGCACCGTCCCGACGCAGACGAAATTGCTTACTGGTGACGCTGGCGCTGTTCGTGGTAGGCTGGTATGTGGCGTTCTACGTCCTTCCTGTGTACTGGCCAGCCTACGAGAACTACGTGGCGAAAAAGATGGGCGCGAACACGTACTCTGTGCAGCGAATCCTGAGGCGCTTCTCACTGCCCATAATGTACAGGCTGCCTAAACTGGCCGAGTTGCTGCACAATCCATCGTGTGCTTTCAGCAATCCATACTATTCAGAAGATGACGCCCTCGCAGAGCCGATTGAAGACGCTGAGCATGCCGCGTCCATTCTGAGAGGTGGGAAGGCGAGCGCGGGCAAGAAAGGAGCCAAGAAGTCCACGAAGACGGACACCGGCGCCCCCGTCGGTGATGACCAGCTGGACGATATCAAGGACGTGAGCGACATGTGCTCTTGTATCGGCGTGCGCGGCGCTGGGCGCATCAGGAATCGCTCGTCACTCAAGATGAAGCATCTTCTGCGGGATGCCGGCGTTCCGCTGGTGCTGCGCGTGGACAACACCACTGCTGATCCCGCTAGCGTGTCCATTCGTCTGGCATCACTGCTCAGCGTTATGAAGGAGAAGCGCGATAACTTCACCAGTCACCTGTGTCATGTCAAGCCACGCGGCAGTAAGGACGAGTGTTCAAGCACAGTGGCGTCGGTGCTGGACTTTGTGCTGAGCAACGCGGGCAATGACATGCCCCATCTCCACTACACATGGTGCGTGCTGCCCAGTGGTGCCCAGTGCTGCTGCTTTGCATAGCGGATTGCCACTGCCGGCTTGGTTGTTTGCTCACACGTGTATGTGTGTGTTTGTGTGTGTGTGTGTGTGTGTGTGTGTGTTTGTGTGTGTGTGTGTGTGTGGTGTGTGTATGTGTATGTATGTGTGTGTGTGTGTGTGTGTGTGTGTGTGTGTGTGTGTGTGTGTGTGTGTGTGTGTGTGTGTGCGTGCGTGTATGCGTGTGTGTGTATTTGTGTGCATTTGTGTGTGTGCATGTATGTGCGTGTGTTTATGTCTGTACACACACACACACACACACACACACACACACACACACACACACACACACACACACACACACACACACACACACACACACATGTCTGCTTGGATATTTGCACGTACACGTTTGACTCCTGGTTTGCCTCCATCACACAGAACTTCTATCCACGTCACTTTGAAGCCGCAGATACACTCTTCAGTCCGATTTTCGCCTGTCATCTTAGCGTAATATCAAAAAAAACTGTAATGTTCTCCAAGAGATAATGGCCCGGACCGGCCCAGGACACACACACACACACACACACACACACACACACACACACACACACACACACACACACACACACACACACACACACACACACACACACACACACACACACACACACACACATAGACACACACACACACACCCGCACACACACACATACACACACACACACACACACACACACACACACACACACACACACACACACACACACACACACACACATGTAGTGCATACCGCCGGTCATGATTTTGTACATACACACACTTTACCAGCAAGATTTTGCCTTCAGTGGCCATGCCAGACTGCAACAGACAAGACCAGGTCAGAGATAGCAAAGTAGCCTGAGTCTGGCTGGTGTGTATTGCCAGGTGTGCATGTGGCACACATGATAATAATAACGGCATTGCTTGTCACCACTTTCCTTACAGGTCATACTGCCGGACTGCTGCAGAGATGGCAACAACGCACCTCCACACAGCGCTAATGCCACATACCTACTTGCGCTCGAAGAATATAGTCTTCTCTGAATCGCCCACGCTCGTCATCAGCAAGGCTGTGAACGACACGAGCGAAGAGGATATTCCGGTAAGGCTAGCCGGTGTGTGTGTGTTTGTGTGTCTGTCTGTCTGTTTATCTGTCTGTCTGTCTGACTGCCTATCTGCGTGTGTGTGTGTGGGGGGGGGGGTATATGTATGTGATGATATTGGTTGTACAGTACACATTCGGCCTCATTCCACATATTTGTTTTGTAGCAAGCATCCATAGCCCTACTACAAATCGGATCCAAGCTTGTAGAAACAAAATCATCTTTCAAAGCCTGCTGCTGATGATGACTCAACTTCGGGGGACTCGAAAACTTCTCCGACATGTCGACATCGAGTGACACAGCAAACAAAAGGAGTAACGTGGCGTAGCAAAGTTGAAGCTTCCGTGCTTCTGTGGTTTGCATGTGAAACCAGTTTGTGCAGTTAGTGCACACATGCCCGGCGTGTCGGCTCGTGCAGGGAAACCATGTATGCACAGATACGATGCACCAGGTCCTGTAAGTTACGCACTAGCTGCTATCCGCTAGGACAGAGCCAGCGCTGGACTCGCCTGCAGCACTGCATGTCAGCTTGGAATGCTTTTGTGCGCACCTCATGCGCTCTAAGTTCTCGTTCTTCTCCTCCCGAAGTCGCTCGTAACCCCCCCCCCCCCCCGCCAAAAACAGTTGGCGCTGCTTATACTCCGGTGGTCAAATGAACTGTGAAATACAGGGTAGATGTCTGTACTTCGCCACCAAAAAAGCTGGGTGCGGCTATTTTGTATACGCCAGTGCGGCTATACTCCGGATAATACTCCGGATAATACGGTACATCAGTGCACCATGCACACCACCATGTTCAGGATGGGTCTGCTTGTGATGTCTTGCCGGGGTACTGGAATCCGACTCCGCTGCATGATGGCTTCTGAGGAGTCACTGGGTTTCTAGAACAGATCTGACGTTCGTACTTTGGCAGTCGCTCGCCACTGCTCCACTACATTACAGCCAATTACCAGTCTGAGTTGGCAATTGGAAATGCGCTTGTTTCAGGCCCGGATCTCACTATTTGCTGTGTGACTGATTTGTGTGTGCGCGCGTCTGCTGTGTGCAGGATATGCTCATAGCGGATCTCGACATTGGCGTGTATCACCAGCTTTCCGGCAGGAGGGGGATTAACTTGAGTCCGGCATCATGCAAACGTTGCAAGGCCATCAGGGTCAACCTTGAAGCTGGCGAAGTCTGTAAGTGCTGCACAGTCCTAATGCCCTTATGCGTGTTTGACTAATGTTAGTAGACCTAGCAGTACACAGAAGTGGACAATGACATGTGACATTGCCCTTGGCTGCAGTCTATTTTTGTGCAGCTGTGGCGCACACCGGTCCATACCTACCCCCCCCCATACACACACACTCACACATAATATCTACACTGCATGCTGCTGCAGTGCACAACTTGTACTCGGTGCCGGGTGCCATTTCATTGGCCACTGTAGTTATCGACCCGTTATTGATGTGTGTGAATAGGATACGTGCTGTATGTGTGTTTCGGGGAGGGAGAGGTGGGGCGGTGCAAGCCGCATTACGGCGTTGTTACAATTTGACCAGGATTACAAGCCTTGCTTCAATGTTGACTAATTTTCTTTGGATGCCTGTTGGCTGTTCATGTCATCTTCTGTGTTGTGTGACTGCAGTGTTCTTCGATTCAGCAGTCTGGGTTGAAAGTCTCGCTCCAGCCTTTGTATTGGATGGAGACAGCGACATGTGGTCTATAACGTATGGTTATAGTATTGGATCTAGCAAGACCGCTCTAGCCCCACTCTATCATACCGCAGACTGGGAAGCGGATGACAGCAGCTGCTAGCTGTGTCTATGTGTCTCACCATGCTATCCGCTGTCCCAAGCCCCGCTCGGTTGTACCGCGCACGTAGGAGTGTATGCATGCGCACACGGCAATGTGTGTGTGTGTGTGTGTTTGTGTGTGTAACCTGGGAAGGCGACAATGAGCCTGATATGTCATCCGTTCTATCAGTGAACTGCTGCTTAGTGTAGCCATGATTACCTGCTTCTACCTGCTGCACACAGGAACATGGCCTAGACCATTTTTGAGGTATGGACTCTTTGCTCATCCGTGTCACCACTCGCGGCGGTCACGGTTCATCTTCTGATCCGACATTTTACGCTGATATCATTTCCTGTATTGTTAAGTGTCTGTGCAGCAGACTCAAATCTGTGCGGTGATTCTCCACTATTCGCCCGCATGATTACAACCGCATCTCCGGTATGACATCTGCTGTGGTATATTGAAGTGTAACTCGATTATGGCCCGGTTTCAGGTGTTTGCACAATTGGACATACCTCTCCTTTATTTGTATTTTGTAACTATTATCTTTATTGGACCGTTGAACAGGACCTATTTTTAAAGCTGCCCTTGTACCCGTATTTGTGCCATGGCTGCCCGAACTGCGTAGGAAAGTTGACCAGATGACAGTGGAATTATTGTATATTTACTTATCCTCCGTTTTCATGCAGATCCTCTCGTTGATCCCATGTTCATGCTTCACTAGCGAATGAACCGTGACTTCTCTACTTGTTACCGTTTTGGTACGTATATGTTCCTCCCAATAAAACGCTGCGTATTATTCAATGTTCGGCATCTCCAGTACTACTATTACGTACGTCTTACGTCGGTACAAGTACCTGTGTCCACTCCTCTTTCTACACTATGTTTGCACCCGTACCCTACGCCTATGCCTATGGGTGCAGTGCAAGTGATAACGGTTAATTGAGACTGTGATCATACAGTTTATAAAAGCCTTTCTCTATCTAGACCGAGAGTGGTTGGTACACCTGAACAAAGATACAAGTAGTAAGTTTTACGATACATTTTCCAGACGTTTCTTCGTTCTAAACAACACTGTCAATGGATAAGGATGGTGACGATGTTTAGAACCGGACGAAACGTCTGGAAAAGGGATCGTAAAAGTACTATTCATTGTAGTTGAGGGGAATTACCGGGTGCTATCTTTGGTTTATGTGTACCACTCTTGGTCCACATAAGAGAATTTATTTTTTCAATGAGAGTGCGGGCTTACTAGTAGTTTGTCCACCAACTCTTATCCAGGGAGTAGTATAATACCACTCCCTGCTCTTATCTACAGTTTTACAGTACAGTGGCACCTAGCTTGCTTTCTGAACACACCACTAAACCAATCACTTTTTCTCCGGCCTGCGAATTTTCCTCCATAGCACGCACAAACCATCACTTTCACAAATCAGACCACTTCGTGTGGTCTCGGACTGAGGCGGTCGGAATTCCAAGGATTCCCACTGTATTGTGATCAGTAGCAGCGCGTATGCTGCGTGGCACCCACGGCAGCAGGCAGTCGATCTTGCTACAATACCAATTCAAGTACAGGTACATGTCTCCAATACTGGTACAGTCAGACCTCGTTTATCCGGATCCCTCGCCATCCGGAAGAAAATCATTGGCTACTGATTTACAGCATATGCCATGCACATATACAGTATGTGTGTTCGATTATCCGGTTCCCTCGCCTATCCGGATATTTTTCTGGAAAACGGATGTGTGCGGTTATGCGAGGTCTGATTGTACAATCAGACCTCGCATAACCGCACACATCCGTTTTCCAGAAAAATATCCGGATAGGCGAGGGAACCGGATAATCGAACACACATACTGTATATGTGCATGGCATATGCTGTAAATCGGTAACCAACCATTTTCTACCGGATGGCGAGGGATCCGGATAAACAAGGACAGGATAAACGAGGTCTGACTGTATTACCAATTGTGGCCAGGGAGTCATATAAACCCGGGTTTATATGACTCCCCAATTGTAGCACATACTTGACCCCCCCCCGTGAGGAATTACAACTGCATATTCATTGGGGTCTAAGAAAACATGGTGTTATCTCGAGTAAGATGTGACAAGTAAGAGAAAAGCTCAAGGAAGTACCTCACAAAATAAAGGGAAAGAAATTCAGTAGAAGGTGACTACTTCTGAGGCAAGATGTGCTGATTACGACCAGGTATAAAACACTTTGTGTTACTTCAATGTCATTTTTGTCTTTTAGAAAGCTGCAATAGTGGCCAATTAGATCAATCTTCAGTGCGATCTCCACTGTCTTTATCTGTGTTGAAGATCAATGCCTGGTGATCAGAGCTACCCGTGTCCTCTTTCCACTGCATGATAGCATTGCCATCGACCGTCTTCAGCGGTGTGTAGCTGGCATGGTGGTGCTCCCAGAGGGGATCGTTGCGCACAGCGTTGTAAGCTATGATGTACGACCAGCGTGGGTTATCGGAGAGGTTGGCAGCGCTCTTGTGCAGTGTATTACAGTGCAGGAAGAGGACATCTGTACACACACACACACACACACACACACACACACACACACACACACACACACACACACACACCTTTGACCTTTGACGCCCATCGCCGGAGGCGATGATAGCAATGCTACGGCAGAAGCCATAGCAACTTGTGCTGGGATTACACCATTCAACAGCTTGCAAGGCTGAAGAATTGACCGTCACTATTCAGCCTGGTCTACACCATACAGCTATTTGGAGTGACATTTTCTGGCCAGTGAATCCCTTTTTTGGTCTTTTTCATTTTTTTCTTTTTTTTTCCCGCACACACACATCACACCACATACTCCGGCATGCACTGGCTGTTGGTAACCACCCAGGAGAATGAAAGAAAAGTCAGGAAGAGTCTGAGAAAGAGAAGAAAGACGTGTGTGACCATAATCGTCGGGAATCGAACCCGCAATCTATCGATTGGAAATCGCTGCACATACCACTGCACCATATGGGACACACACACACACACACACACACACACACACACACACACACACACACACACACACACACACACACACACACGCATACATGTGCCAGTGGGCAAGCACAGAGCCACAATGCAATCAACAAAAAGATAGATTCGAAGGCCGAGAGCCTGTGCTAGCAGGTGGGGACAATGCCATGTCACTGACTGCCCAGGATATGTCGTTCTCTTCTTCAGCGAAAGTTGTTCGAGAAGGTTTTGAAAGTACATGTAATAAGCTTAGCATGCACCGCGCAGAAACATACGCACACACAACGTGTGACACACAGCCCCGAACCGCGCTCAGTTTAAGTACATTGCCAGAAGTATACAATGTCATGAACATGTACGTGGCTCAACAAAAAGAAACCATAACAACCCCCGCCCCCCCCCCCCCACCTATTCCAATTGACTTCAGCTCTTCCTACTTCGATGCTGAATATACAGTCGTTGTTATCCCTTACCTCCCTGCTCCAGTTCACAGTGAATAAGCTCATGTCGGGACACAGCGGCATCAACGCGCTGCATGTCTGCGCCAACCTGACCACCTGGAGTTTACATGTAACAAAGTAAATCCAAAGCAAAAGGCCACCATTCACGAATCGAGATATCTTTGTTCAACTACACGCACCCATGCACGATTCAGGGTCCCTCCATGCACATGCTTTGTATCGGCCCTACTCTCCTTTGTCTTCTTGTCCAGTGTCACTTCAGTTGTCCTCTTTCCTTGATTATTAGCAGGGCTGTGTTTGCTAGTAAAACAAGTAAAGTGAAATCCAATGCCATGTACAGGTCATGGCATGTTGTGGGAGTAATTTTATAAGTTCTAGGTGACACCTGACAGCTGCACAGATCAGAGTGGTACAATCGTGCATGCTTCCAGCAGCCACTGCACTGCACTGTGCTGCACTGTACTGTACCATAACGTGAGCAATGGCTTACCTGTGACTCCGTGGTTCACTCTACCAACGTGGTGGGAGCCCTGCAGAAACCGTGAGACCGAATGGAGCACGGAAGCATATGTTACATACCATGAAACATTGGAAAGAAGACGCTGCAGTGCTTGCGCTCTTGTATACCTGCTCAACCTCGTACATGTACAAAATAAAGAGAGAGAGAGAGAGAGAGAGAGAGAGAGAGAAAGAGAGAGAGAGAGAGAGAGAGAGCGGCCCGGGGGAGGGGGGGGGGGGGGCAGTGATTCCCGGAAGGAGGAAGAAAGAGAGAAAAAATTGGCCCCACATGCAGTTTCTAGAGCTAGTTACAAAAGATTTTTAGGGAGAACTGTAGTATTTCCTCGACATGCATGAAACCACAAGGCATCCCAGTGAACCACTCGCTGCACTTGGCAATGCAAGGGAAGGTTAGCTAACTAGAACAATTTAAAGAGTGATACAATAATCTGAGCGGCTAGGTGCAACAATCAAGTATGAAAGCTGAACTCACCTTCAGGACCTGCAGACACCCATTGTCTGTTGTGGCCCGGTCAATAGCAATCATAGCACTCAGCATCAGTGGATACAGGCAGCCGTTCTTGTACCAGTATCCATAGTCTACACAAGCCGTTGTACAGAACCCCCACACACAGGCATGAACACACGCATGAACACACACACACACACACACGTGCACGCACGTCCGTTCACGCCCACAGCCCCACCGGACAGGCACACAGAGAGAAGAGTGTGCCTTCCTATAACCTTTAGCAGACATCGTCAACCGTGCATGGTTGTACAGGTGAATGGGGCATGGTGATCAGTCCATCAGCCGGACCTGAGTGAGTTCTGGCAACGTGTCATTGCGGTACATTACGTGAGGTGGAAGCTATAATTATACTCTCCCGTTAGTGAACGTTACTCTGAACGTGCCATAACAAAACAAATACTAAAAGGACCAGTAGTCCGTGGCGGAAATATTGCCACCCACCGCCACTACATGCAGGCGCGTCGGAACGACTTTGGAAGTGGGGCGGCCATGGAAGGGGGGGTCCTCCCCCGGGAAAAAAATTCAAAAATTAAAGCCAATTGCAAGCATTTCCGGGCATTTGGTGCCATTTCAGTGTACGGTAACTACAATGAAAGACTTTTTGATTCTGCAAAAAACCAAGAAGATGCTACGATCGGGGACAAACATTACCCTCCCCCGGGAAAAAAATTCAAAAATTGAAGCCAATTGCAAGCATTCCCAGGCATTTGGTGCCATTTCAGTGTACATGGACTTTTGATTCTGCAACAAACCACGATCGGGGACAAGGATTTGCCACGTTTGCGCTGAGATCATCGCGCTTTGTTGCAGTGTGCTTAAAAAAATAAAAAAAATAAAAACCCGCCGAAAAAGTGGGGCGGCCATGGCCGCCTCGGCCGGTGCGGTTCCAACGCCCTTGTACATGTAGTGGCATGCAGCAGTGATGTTGTCTGACGATTGGCCCAGCTGCCTTGAAACTCTGAGTAGCCAGAAAGCAATTTTCCCGCCATTGTGAGCTTGTGTTGCAGGCTCCTCCTAGTGGGTTGAACACTTTCGCAAGTCAACGGCAATTCTGCTTTGTGCTTTGTACTAGTGCCATGTACATTCTGAATGAGATGCGTCCAGTGTCTAATAATGCCTGCAGTGCGCTGCGATTCTTCTCAACAGAGTACCAGTGTGCGCAAAGGCCGTAATTGAAGATTTAGATCCGCCCATTGCGTTGCGAAGGCTCAAATCTCAGTCCAGCTGAGGCATTGCTACGTTCTAGCATACGAATGTTACAACATCAGTGGAAGCACCCCCACGGCTCAAGAATAGGAGAGTGTACTTGCAGTATCCAAGGTACTTTTTTTTATCCAATCACACTTTAGTATGGATTCGGGACTATGAAGCAATACTGCCGTGCTCCGAACAATATTTTATATTTGGCGAGCATACCTCTTATCAGAACAAGACATACTGGGTGCAACTTCACAGTGTGTCTTTTTAAGACTAAAAACCAATTACCTTGATGCCATTCCCATGCTCCGCCGACTCTCGGTTCTTTCAGCATTATCTTGGAATGATAATGGTAGACTGTCGAGAGCAAAGCACATGAAATGAACACAAAGTACAAAGTACCCATTGGCATACTGCAGGACAAGTGCCGCTGCGGGTACGCCAGGCACGACCATGGCTGTACATATGTAACCAATACCAGTGTTCATGGAATTTCCAGTATATGCGGCAATCGATTATCGGTATGTCTCAAGCACCGTGATAATAAGGGATGCGTGCTTGGAAAAGTGGTAAGAGCATTGGCCTTTCAAAAAGAAAGTTGGGTGTTTGATTCCCAGTTTGAGCAAAAAAGTATTCTCCACCCTGAGTATACCCCTGCATGTCACGGTATTGAGTGACCTGACTTCAGTTGGGGAGGCAAAGGCAACGAGAGGCGGTGAGCATCGCCGGCCTCACTACATGTATGTTGAGCTCATTAAAACAGGAGGTGTCTAACCTCTCCTGCCCCTACGATCAGAATTGGCAAAGTATTACCTTTACTTTTACCAGTAAGCTATCATCGTACATTCCTTATTACTCGTAGAGCCCCCTCCCCATCCCACCAATGATTCATCTTCTCCAGTGAGGACTACTGAATCGGTGCCGCCAGAATGTGCACGTCCGTATTGGTTTAGGAAAACGGAATTGCTGCCATTTACATTGTATAAAACACAAATTGTTCATGAGTCATCTGAGCCGTGCACCCCACCTACAGTGTTGGCCTGTATCCATAGGACCCTATGCCTATGGCACAGTTGTTATCGTATCTTGAAGTCAAAATGACAAATTGCGCTGAGGTCAACCCGTACTCGGAGGCCCCCTCTGGTTTATGTTGTCTAGCTCCCGCACATCCCATGGGTTGTCGGTTCTACTTTGATATAGCCATTGCCCGTTGCTGTTGTTCTTGCAGCCAAACTCACCTGGTTCACCCATCAGCTGCTCGACGGCGGTTACCAGCCTCTTGTTGCGGGAGAACATACCATACAGATCATCAATAGGATGGTTCCTACACATGTAAACGTGGTCAGAAAAGATCATAAGATCAGATAAAAAAAGCGCCGCAAGGAAACGTCGGAAGCAGCTGAACATACCACAATTTCCTTGAAGCCAAACGCTGGCAAGAACATTATCAAAGATGAAGGAGAGCCCCGTGAGAGAATCCTATCTTCTTTCCTCCATAAAGAACACAATTACCACCAGGTAACAGCTCAGCCTGGACAGCAAGTTTCCAGCATAACTTTCAGCATTCCTAGCTAAAATGCTAAGCTGTGCAACAGATTTGTTCCCAAAGCTCCTCTCATAACAAAATGTAGCAGCACATGCTATCTAATCTGTCCACCTACCAAACCGTTAGCTTTGTTGTCCTTCCGTCCTTGTCATCACGGCGAATAGCGCTCTCCTGCAGTACCTTGTCCGAACGAGATTTCTCAAGGAGCCGCCTACAAAACAGGCACATCGAACACACCTTAACTAACGCTTGGAGGGTCAACACTCGATTCCCTGCCATTGTTAGGAGACAGGGTGCAACTGTAAACACTTGCGGCAATAACTGCCGGACTTTTCAGTATGTACATGTATCCATGCAGGCATACGGCTATGTTGTTCCAACCAAGGCTTTTTGTCCGCTCTTTCTTTCGTTGATCTCAAAGGTTGTAAAGCTATGTATCCATGCAGGCATACGGCTATCTTCTTCCAACCAAGTTTTTGGTCCGCTCCTTCTTTCGTTTATCTTGGTGCTACAATGACAATTCTGTTTGACACAACGGGCACACTGCCTGCGCTCCGAGTCAAGCAGCCATTATTGCCGCCTGCAATTGTGACGCCCAGAGGTCACTATTCACATTAAGAGGCGATTTACACGACGGCAGGATTCATCCCGTGCGGCATGCTGCCATGGAGATGCAATCACGTGTACTGTAAAGCCGGAAAGTCTAACGTTTTAACGACCAGTTTTTTTTCGTTATTTGAAGAAACGTTATGGGGAGATGTCTGTGCGTACAGATGGGTACCGGATGGCCGGCCAGGTAGCCATCGTTAAACTTTCTGCACGTCGTCATGCCAAAATTACAAAAACGTTTGGTCGTTAAACTTTCCGGTTTTACAGTACTCAAATTCTGGCGCGAACGTACGAGTTATCCCGGTACAGCCCCGGTACCGTGAGGGGGTGGGGGTGGAAATTCATCCCGTGGCATTCCACGGATTGTTTTGCATGACAGGTACTGTGCGTACATCCTGCCGTGTGAATCGGTTTTCGTTTTTCCCGCATGTACGCAAGCTCTCGGGATCACGTGCTTCACTTCCCGGCGGGATGCAGTGCCGCCGGTCGTGTACATCGCCTCTAAACCGTAACAAGCTACAGTGCTAGTGTTCTAGTGTGGCAGTTCTAGAGCCATACATGTACTTACTGTACATATACATCATGTATTGCATGAACAGACTTCACTCACGCTAGAACTGTAGTGTAGTGAAAATGGCTCGGCTTGAGTACTTACTGACTTTCCTCTCTACTGAAGAACTGGCGCTTTATCAGGTATCCATCAGCGTGGTATTGCTGGACCTCTTCAGCGCTTAGCATCGTCCTGGGCTGAGCTGCTGATGCATATGCTGGTACTCCCCGAATGCCGGCCAGTGAGCAGAAACACTGTCAAGAAATAAGCATGAAGACTAGGGAGTAGGGTGATGACCAGGGAGCACTGCCATACCTGCCAACCGTCTCGATTTGGCCAGGACCGTCCCGGTATCGAGGGTGGTCATGATAGGCACCCCAAAGTGCATTAATTTTAAATTTTGTACCATGCCTCACCGTGCACGCGTGAGCTACGTTTGTGTACATTTTCATACCTACAGTGAGTAGGTATGTCATTGCCCATTGCCCATTGGCCCGATCGACTTGTGCAAAGGTTGGCAGGTATGTATTATGGTATCATTACTAGTCACCAGTGACCAGTGTTGACCATGCAGCTAAGTGGTACAAACACATGCATCAGTAGATCTACTAGAATGCAGTAGCATTACACCGGCAAATACACTATTAATCAAAGTTACAGCGGTAACTAACACCGTTCGGAAGTCGTCGCTGACATCTCACTACAAAACAGTTTCTTTGCATCGATACCGTTCAAGATGAATAAAAGGATCGTGCACAACTTCCTATTTTGTGAACATAATTTTAGTTTAGACAATGTTTGAGATTATAGAGCCTGATTGGTTGCAAAAACACATTCCGAAAAATCTCGAACAGGGTCTTATCAAAGTCTTCGTCCCTTACCGAAATTCTGGAGGGTGCACTGAGCTTAGCGGTCGTCACTGGAATAGGCTTTCGGTGCTTCTACTACACCTCTTGCATGCTCTTCAGTGCCGTGCTGACGCCGAGTGTACTCAGCTTGGTATGATCCTCCAGTGACTCACGTTCAAGGAAGAAGTCTAATCAGCTGCAACTCTGAATTTCTTTCACAGGTATTTGTTTGTCCATACCTGGCTATTGCTAGACACCACACCACTCTTGGCAGCAGTAAAGCGTTGACACTCGATAGTCGCAAGATGCTGACATGTTAGTGAGTGACGGGACAGGAGGTTTCTTGCATGATGCCACGGCGAGCGGTTCGATTGTGCCGGACTGGACTGCTCTGGCGTTTGAATAGAAACGACGTTTTCGTTTGGCAGCTGGATGATGCCATGCCCTCCTCCATCGTCAACGGTTTGAAGTTTTACGTCTTTGGTAGATCTACATTGTGGCCATCGGTCGATTCGTCGCCTGTCCACGTATGCATGTGCACCGCGAAGGAATGAAGTGAACTGAAAGCCACCGTCCGCAGAGCCTTTCCGAGACAACATTTTAATTGGACTGAACTAGTGTCAAGTGTATCCTGCAGCACAGGGAAGTAAAGTCAACGGTTCTAGCGTGTTCGTAGAAGTCACAGTGTTCTGTCTTTTGTGCGGACCATTGCGAGGATGGATACGCGATGTTGGAGTAATGCAGTGGCAGTACTGGTGTTCCTATCCTGCATTGCTGGCATTCTCCGGCAGTCACCCAGCTGGGCTGTACATGCCAGCGATAGTCGTGAATCTGAAACAGCCCCGGCCCAGAGACAATCACAGTCACAGGGATGCAACGGAGACAGCACACCGACCAAGCCCAACTTCATTCTCTTCTATGTGGATGAGTAAGTAATCAGCTCTCCACATGCACAGTCATGCATAACGCAACACACCGTACGTCTACACTCAAATAACGTGCCTGTTGTCCCAGGATCTCTGAGCAGGGTGCTGGAGTGGCTAAGGAATTGAGATAAGAACATCAACTGATGCATTGAGATCATGGCCGATACCAACTAATTACTTACAAATATATAGTGCGTGTCATGTGTGTTTTCAGTCATAATTTCACAGATGTTGGGAATAGGACCATGAAGTGAAGAGCAACTTTTTCGTTTCTTGCTTACCTAACTGGAACGACTAACAAGCATAGATGCCTTCACATGCTGCAGTTGCACTTCAAAGCCTTGTCTTGGTTATCTTGAAGTACAACTTGAAATGGCAGCTAGGATGGCTTGCATCAAAGAAAACCCCTGTGCTGTTGGTTGCTTCACTGCAGCATGGGGTATGGAGACCTGGGCTGTTTCGGAGCACCGACAACGTCTACGCCAAACATTGACAGGATGGCATTGGAAGGTGCTAGATTGACACAGTTCTACACAGCGCATTCGATCTGCACACCGTCCCGCGCTGCACTATTGACTGGACGATTGCCAGTGCGCAGCGGCATGTGCGGCAATACATATGGAAGTGCGAACTCGTCTCAGCCAATGGTGCTGTGGTGTGATGCAGTGAACGGTCTACCTCTGGATGAAATCACTCTGGCCGAGTCACTGAAGACTATGAACTACTCCACGATGATGGTGAGCAGTCCAGCCTAGTATTCAGCAGCATGTATTGTTCAATGATTGGTTTTGTTGTCATTGCGATTACTGAAGTACTAGTATTGAGTAACTTCCACTGTCCATATTGTTTGGAATGGCAAACCGGTTCTACAAACACAGTTCTCTAGCCTAGTACAACCAGAAGTTTCCTGCAAGAATCCTGAGAGCGACATAAGCTGATGCAAGACCGGATGTATATCAAGTGGAACGGTTCACAGTGGATGGTGCTGCGTTTTTAATTCCTCGGTGCATCGGTCTTTCCATGCGTAGCTCCTGTTGCAGTACTGCATGACCATGTTCAACATCCTTAACTAGCCTGGTCATGATGGTGTGGGTATAAACTTTTGCAGAATCCTTCGGTGCTAGGACCAAGTAGTCAGAGCAAGTATAGTCTGGATGAGGGAGGTGCTGTGTTCCATCTTTTTGAATTGAATTATACGGATTGATTGTCCCTTCTCATCGCTGTGTTCCACTGCAGATAGGCAAATGGCATCTTGGCCAGCAAGTGAAGTACCAGCCAACCAGACAAGGTTTCGACCACTATTTTGGACTACCGTACAGTGTGGACATGGGATTTGCCTATGGAAATGACACACAGGAGAGCTCGTTGATTGAGATATGCTATCCTGTGCCGCTGATTCAAGACGAGAAGATCATCGAGCAGCCAGCTAACTACACCACACTGACACAGCGCTATGTGGAGCAAGCTGAGCAGTATATAGCCAATGCAAGCAAGTCCGGCAAGCCATTCTTTCTCTACGTGCCGTTCTCACATGTCCACCTTCCGCAATTTGCTGCCAAGCCAGGTACGTTGTTACTGCTCGTTGCTGCTACTGTACTGAGTTTCGACAAACTTCAAAGTACATAGACTGAGAGTGCTACAGTGAACCCTGTTCTGTTCACTTCCCTACCATATCAAGCAGCATCATAGTAGATTTAACATGCTGTACGTATCACGCAAGTATCTGTGCTTGTCGCATGTTCACGTGACGAACTGTCTCGGGAGAATATAATAAGTATTTGATGTATTTATGGCCTTTACACTGTTTAATAGCACTGATCAGGATTTCAAATTTTAGTGAAAATCTATCTGCATAATTCCATATACATGTATATATGGTGTTGTAGGAGTTAGCAAACGTGGCTATTTCGGCGACAGCGTAATGGAGGTGGATGCTGCTGTGGGACGTGTCCTGGACATGGTTAGAGCCTCTCCTGGCCTCTTGAAGAACACGTTTGTCTTCCTGACGTCTGACAATGGAGCTCAGCCCGCCGAGGGTAGCAAAGTGAACACAGGTGACAATGGTGAGTGCTACTGTGATGGGCATTGCACCACTCAGGCTACAGAGACTGTGGATCACTTGTAAAACCATAATCCCTGGCTTTGCATGCTAACCAATTCAACGAGTAATAATCAACGTCTCAGCAGCAGAATCTTGCTGGAGAGAGTTTGACTGAATGAAGACATGCGAATGCACATCACTGCTTGAATTTGTTTTATCAAAATCCCACCCCAGCATGATTTAATTGCATGTTAGACATCTCCCCAGTTTTCACAGTGGCAACTTCCACAGACAACAATCTAGATGCTTGTGTATGTTAAAAAGCTTGTAAGGTACATCAGCATATCGATATGCCATAATGAGCACCTAAACCGGTAGTGTCAAAAGTCTCTCAAACCTGACAGATCTGTCCACCACCAGCTCAGAATGCAATTCACCAAACAAATACTAGAACTCTCCCTCGACCACCCCCACCCACCCCTCCCTCTCTCCTCCTCCCTCCTTATTTTCACCCATCATCTATCTCTTGGTCTTTCTCTCTTTTCAATGTGCTATGTAGGGTTATTTTCAGGAAGAAAAGGTCAGATCTGGGAAGGTGGTCTGAGAGAGCCAGCCATAGCATGGTGGCCAGGTCGCATTGCTCCAAGACAAGTCATCATGGACGTGGCTGTCACCACAGATGTATTTGCCACATTTGTCGAGCTAGCCGGCGGAGAGATACCTTCAGATCGGGTCATGGACTCCATCTCAATGTTGCCCATGCTTAACATCACGCACACTACTGGAGATCATCCAGCTTGCCAGTTTCATACTCCGAGAGCACAGCAATTCAGAAATGTCTCTTTCTTTTACCAAGGCTGTGAGCTGTGGGCAGTACGCTTGGGACCATGGAAAGCACATTTCTTCACGGATCCCAAACCAATGTTTCCTCTGCCTAACACGGGAGATGTCACGCAGGTAGATAAGACATCCTCTTTCTTGTTGGCCGACCAATACGAAACTCGATCTGTGGGTCGTACTCCGCATAGTCCACCGCTGCTATTTAACCTTGAAAATGACCCATCGGAAGACTACCCACTAGGTGGATATGATGATGTCATCAAGCAAATAGAAGCTGCTGTTACTGATCACAAATCTAAGCTGGTTCCTGGTAAGGCTCAGCTGCCATTTCGTGATCCATCGACCAGACTGTGCTGTAGTCAAACTGTTGCTCCGCCATGTTTCTGCAACACATAGTATCCAGAGAATGGTAACTGTTGTACAATCATCATAATTATTATGTTGGCTTTACATGTATCTATCTCACTGTGTTTCCATCCTTTATGTTTTTAAATAGTTACATGGATTTTTTGGGTTGTGTTCATTCGGCTAGAGAGAAGATTTTTGAAATCAAGGGAACTGAAATAAGTATGCAGTACCTTTTTGTTCCCGATTGGCTATTGGGCAAAAAGCACATGAAATATGGCAGGAGAACAGTGCAGGCCACGGGCCTGCAAGTAAACGAGCGACCCAACTGATACAGAAAATTTTTGTAGACATGCAAGTGGTGTTTACCCAGGGTATTTTTTACCGTGTCTACAATCATGTTTATTGGTACTAGTAGATCTGGTGATGACGAGGTCTTTTCATCTTGCGAAAATCATGCTAGATCGTGACCAGGGAGTCGGTTGACGACTCCCTGGTTAAAGGGGAAGTTAAGGCAAAAATTAAAATTTCATCAGTTGTACTAGTCTTCGGGGTGCTGAGTCGAATGGTCTTGGTCCGAAAAAGCTGAGACGCTCCCGTCCTACTTGAATCCCAATCGAACTCGCGCACTTCCACCGAAACTGGGTGACTGCGCCCTACTAGATGGGGATTTGTATGCAAAATGTCACTAAAAGCGCCGTTTCGTTCTTATAAAAGAACGGATGACCGCGATTGGCCCATATGTTGTAGTCTTTTGGACGCTGAGTCGACTGGTTTTGGTCCGAAAAGGCTGCGATGCAGCGTTCCTCGATTTGTATGCAAAATGTCACTAAAAGCGCCGTTTCGTTCTTATAAAAGAACGGATGACCGCGATTGGCCCATATGTTGTAGTCTTTTGGACGCTGAGTCGACTGGTTTTGGTCCGAAAAGGCTGCGATGCAGCGTTCCTCCTTTATTCCCAATCGAACATGGTTGAACAAGCGGTCACGTGCTCCTGCGTACACCAGTCAGCTGGTCACCGTGCCTGCAGGGTACAACTACTAGCCTGTTTGACCTTTTTTGGGTGCAGTCCTGTCACTCGAGTTGAACTCGAGTTGAACCTTGGTGTGAAAGTTGTCGCCTGCTGGCGTGGTGACCAGGTGATTTGGGCATCCAGGAGCACGTGACCGCTTGTTCAACCATGTTCGATTGGGAATAAAGGAGGAACGCTGCATCGCAGGCTTTTCGGACCAAAACCAGTCGACTCAGCGTCCAAAAGACTACAACATATGGGCCAATCACGGTCACCCGTGCTTTTATAAGAACGAAACGGTGCTTTTAGTGACATTTTGCATACAAATCCCCATCTAGTAGGGCGCAGTCACCCAGTTTCGGTGGAAGTGCGCGAGTTCGATTGGAAGGGAGCGTCTCAGCTTCCTCGGACCACGACCATTCCAGACAGACTGATCTGAATGAGTCCCTGATATCGTGGATACCATCAGGACAGGCCAAGTCAGGCGGAGTCAGTTGATCTGTATTTCTGCCAGGGTGGACATGTGAAAAAATGGCAAGGGGTCAGCAGATGGGTTGGGTATCCCGACAGACCATGCAAACCTGACAGACGTCAGGCAGACAGTAAATCATGGGCCGCGGTACGCGGTGGCGATAGTCCGAAGCACGATCTCAGTATACTAGTACGGAAAGTGTCATTTCGACCACAGTTCGGTAAGTGCAGACCTTGGTGGACCTCGATCCGTTCGTGCAATGAAATACCTGCTCGTGGGGTCGAAGCACGAGTGAGATTAGATTTTGCACTGCATTTGAGACAGTCCGTCAACTGAACATTTGACTGGGTGGTATAATAATAATTTACAGCGGTTCAGGAGGAGTTTGGTGTGGCCCAACGGTCACCGCAGTCTGAATATGATGGACTATTTTAGATTGACAATTTTCAAGGCACTGCTGCTCGGAGCAGCAATGCAGTGCAGTACAACTTCTTGGAGCGCACAGGCTAGTGCGTCGGAAGCGGGCCAGCCACCAGCAAGTAGTGTGATTGCTGCTACAACCAAACCTAACTTCATACTCTTTTATGTGGACGAGTAAGTCGCAAGTCGCTAGGTATGCACCGCCATTGATTGGTACATGTTAGGTTACCATTTTCATGTGCATGGAAAGTGACACTGCGGCAAGCAGAACATCTGCAAGTGCAGTACCCAACAGAGGCAAGGCAAGGGAGCAACAACAGTTTACAAGTCAATTTGCAAATAAATTCTACGAGACAATCCTAAAATGAATTGGAATCATCAAGCACGGTGACCCATGAATCTAGATCGTTGTATGTGAGCAAAAAAGTGTTGTGTGTGTATGTGCACGTGTGTGTCTGTGTGTTTGTGTGCATGTGCGTGTACGTGCATGTGGTTTCTGATGACTGACATGATTGGATCTGTCATCAGCATGGGATATGGAGACCTGGGCTGCTTTGGTGCGCCAACAACTTCCACGCCAAACATTAACCGGATGGCATTGGAAGGCGCTAGATTGACACAGTTCTACACAGCACACTCGATCTGCACACCGTCCCGCGCTGCACTGCTGACTGGACGATTGCCAGTGCGTAGCGGTATGTGTGGCAATACGTACGGCAGTAAGGACTCGTCTCAGCCAATGGTTCTGTGGTGTGATGCGGTGAACGGTCTACCTCTGAATGAAATCACTATAGCTGAGTCACTCAAGACACTCAACTACTCCACGATGATGGTAAGGGCATGTCTTTGTTTTATATTTTATTTCACCGTCTAATGGCAAAAGCCGATACAAAGGAGCGGGTGTTAGCCAACCTTGGCAAGAGAAGGAAAGAAGAAAGAACATAATTATCAGAAGAAAATAACGCATAACAGGTGTGAAATTTATCACTATGGTAACTATGGTGAATAGTGGCAAGACAAGCTAGCAAAACGAGGCGAGAGAGCTTACAACTTGACATGACTTTTAAGTTTTAACAAGGTCTTTGAACTGTCTATTATTCATTTGGATATGGTCTTAATTTCCATGGGCAACTTGAGCCAATACGCATTCACATTGCCAATGTTGCTAGTATCAAGACAGTGACATAGTCTTCCTAACATAAGGGAGGGATAGAATGCATTTACATGTACTCTGTACTCTTGACAACATGCGTAGGCATCACCAAAACAGGTTTTGCTGAGTTCGGCTTGTAGAAGGAGAGTATCTCAAAGTCTTCGGGTCATCGATTTGAGCTCCTTGTTAGACCCAAATGTCGTTAACGGAAAGGTTTATCGCGGGAATAGTGGATAGCTGTTTCATTCTCCTATGTGGGATAGCCTTGAAACAATCAGGCGATCAAAGGTTTAAATCGGGATGCTGACGCCGAGTGTGATAGTCGAGATTGGGCTGGGGCACAACCAGAAATGAACATGTGCACCAAAAACGCATTCGGAGAGTTACTATTGCCGTGGCATTGTTGTGAGCCAAGGCAAACTCCAGTGACATTGCCTGCATGGATCCCCACCCCCCACCCCCCATATATCTAACAAGGAGTAGAACAAATGTAGGTTCTACGACTCCATTCTCTCAGCACACCAACAATGCAATGCTGTACATATACTCCAAACGTATGCTCCATGTTCCACTGCAGATAGGCAAATGGCATCTTGGTCAGCAAGTGAAGTACCAGCCAACCAGACAAGGTTTCGACCACTATTTTGGACTACCGTACAGCGTGGACATGGGATTTGCCTATGGAAATGACACACAGGAGAAGGAGTCTCAGGCAGAGGTCTGCCATCCAGTGCCCATAATTCACGACGAGAAAATCATTGAGCAGCCTGCCAACTACACTACGCTGACACAGCGCTACGTGGAGCACGCCGAGGCATTTATTACGAATGCAAGCTTATCGGGCACGCCCTTCTTTCTCTACTTGCCATTCTCCCATGTTCATGTTCCACAGTTTGCAGCAAACCCAGGTAAGCAGCCATGTGTGAAATTGTCAAACATCCTGTTCATCTTTCTGCCTGTTTCTTTCTTAAAAACAGTGGGTTATAATTCACTTGAGATGGACTCAAGATTTGGTCGATAGGAGCGCCCCCCCCCTCCCTTCCCCGACTCATAATTATACTGGACAACTACCAAAACCAATCGCTCTTATTCTAACACTTCTTCTTTCATTTCTCTCAATACTGTTTTTCAAGAAAAAAATAATAACGTTGATTTTCATGATTTCCCATAATCTTGGGCTTAGTGGAAGGTACTGGTGATATGGAACAGGTGGGCTTAGTGGCAGGTGCTGGTGATGTGGAACAGGTGGGCTTAGTGGCAGGTACTGGTGATGTGGAACAGGTGGGCTTAGTGGAAGGTACTGGTGATGTGGAACAGGTGGGCTTAGTGGAAGGTACTGGTGATGTGGAACAGGTGGGCTTAGTGGAAGGTACTGGTGATGTGGAACAGGTGGGCTTAGTGGAAGGTACTGGTGATGTGGAACAGGTGGGCTTAGTGGAAGGTACTGGTGATATGGAACAGGTGGGCTTAGTGGAAGGTACTGGTGGTATGGAACAGGTGGGCTTAGTGGCAGGTACTGGTGATGTGGAACAGGTGGGCTTAGTGGAAGGTACTGGTGATGTGGAACAGGTGGGCTTAGTGGAAGGTACTGGTGACGTGGAACAGGTGGGCTTAGTGGAAGGTACTGGTGATGTGGAACAGGTGGGCTTAGTGGAAGGTACTGGTGATATGGAACAGGTGGGCTTAGTGGAAGGTACTGGTGATATGGAACAGGTGGGCTTAGTGGAAGGTACTGGTGATATGGAACAGGTGGGCTTAGTGGAAGGTACTGGTGATGTGGAACAGGTGGGCTTAGTGGAAGGTACTGGTGATGTGGAACAGGTGGGCTTAGTGGAAGGTACTGGTGATGTGGAACAGGTGGGCTTAGTGGAAGGTACTGGTGATATGGAACAGGTGGGCTTAGTGGAAGGTACTGGTGATATGGAACAGGTGGGCTTAGTGGAAGGTACTGGTGATGTGGAACAGGTGGGCTTAGTGGAAGGTACTGGTGATGTGGAACAGGTGGGCTTAGTGGAAGGTACTGGTGATATGGAACAGGTGGGCTTAGTGGAAGGTACTGGTGATGTGGAACAGGTGGGCTTAGTGGAAGGTACTGGTGATGTGGAACAGGTGGGCTTAGTGGCAGGTACTGGTGATGTGGAACAGGTGGGCTTAGTGGAAGGTACTGGTGATGTGGAACAGGTGGGCTTAGTGGAAGGTACTGGTGATGTGGAACAGGTGGGCTTAGTGGAAGGTACTGGTGATGTGGAACAGGTGGGCTTAGTGGAAGGTACTGGTGATATGGAACAGGTGGGCTTAGTGGAAGGTACTGGTGGTATGGAACAGGTGGGCTTAGTGGCAGGTACTGGTGATGTGGAACAGGTGGGCTTAGTGGAAGGTACTGGTGATGTGGAACAGGTGGGCTGATACAGGTACAGGGACTACAGGCTGCCATTTTGTACATCCACTTGCTTGCATGAAGACTCGTACTATATGTAGTTTCTGTCACACCAGTTCCGTGGAAGGTTAATAACAAAAGTGTGCGGGAAAGGAAAACACACATTGCACAGTGGACTGCACAAAAACACGTTCAAGTCGTCAGGAATGCGAGTACAACAACTCTACAATTTTTTGTCCTACCACTTTGGAGATTGCTTCTGTCGTAAGCTGTGTGGTGTCTCGTCCACTTACGTCCTATCAGCAAAGCCGGAGAAAATCGAATGAGATACGATCGTTGGAAGCTGCTGATTAGTTTTTTAAACTTTTTTGTGTCTTGTCAAGTGTCTGAAATCTATACAAGAAAGTTAAAGAAACAAACTTGGTGAACTGAAATGCGTCATAAAGGTAAACCTAACACATGCTTCTTTTCCAGCTCTAACCTGCGTCTTTGTCCCAACATACACCGCTGTAAACTTGAAAGGGTTAGCAATGGAGCCTTCTTTACCGGATTGGCGCCGGGCGTACTGCAGCCTTGAAAAGCCAGCTAGAGCAACTGTGGTCTGGTGAAATCGAGACCTTTGAATAAGTGTGTGCTGTGCTCTGTTTTACTACGCCCTGATTCAAAGGAGTCAGCAAGCGTGGCGTATTTGGTGACAGCGTAATGGAGGTGGATGCGGCTGTGGGCGCCGTGCTGGATGTCATTCGCTACACACCCAGCCTGTCTGCTAACACGTTTGCGTTTCTCACATCGGACAACGGTGCAATACCGTCCACTACGAATAAGGCCACCTCCGGAAATAATGGTGAGTAGGACATTGATCACGTTCTAAATGCAGCAACTGTCCATGCCAGCTAGTGGTGTGATTAGTGTGCTTTCCACTTCTTCTACTACATATGCAAGTCTTGATCTGGCGTTGAGACCAACCAGCCCCATTGCATGAATACATGGATTGGGACCATGCATTTGTTATGACATGAGGGAAGTGTCATTGGAAGTGAGACTGACTTCAGAGTCTCTCTACCTTCCTTTCCTGCTCTCCCCCTCTCTCTCTCTCTCTCTCTCTCTCTCTCTCTCTCTCTCTCTCTCTCTCTCTCTCTCTCTCTATTTCTCTCCGACACCCCCTGAAATCCCCAAAACTCTGAGTGGACTTGAAAATGATCCCCCTTATGGGCTCACCTCACCTCAGTAAGTGGGTGAGGACAAGGTGCAGGAGAAGGATTGACGGCATCAGGGTATCCGTCCCGGGATCCAACTGCAGTTACCCCTGCCCCCAGTGAAGACAATACTTGCTACTAGTGTGGGTGGCTAAATCAGAGTGGATCTGATAAAAGCTTCACTAGCACCATTGATTACACAAGAGTTAATCTAGCCAGAAGCAGTTCATGGTTAACAGGTATGTATACTTCAAATAGAAAGTATATGAACCCTGGAAGCAACAAAGGTGGCAGGTACAACAATACACCTTTTAAAAAGCAGCTGAGCCCGTTGGCAACATACCCAACACAATCAGGCGTAAGTGTATCCACCAACCGACTAGCTGGCATGTATATATAGCCCCAAAGAAGAGGGAAACTCCAGCCTATGTAGGTGGTCTGTATATTCAACCACGGCCAGGGAGCGGGATATTTTTCAAGAGGTGTGCATGGTTATCGGTATTGTGTTTTCAGGACTGCTGTCTGGACGCAAGGCGCAGACCTGGGAAGGTGGTCTGAGAGAACCAGCCATAGCATGGTGGCCAGGTCACATTGCTCCAAGACAAGTCATCATGGACATGGCTGTCACTACAGATGTATTTGCCACATTTGTCGAGCTAGCTGGTGGAGAGATACCTTCAGATCGTGTCATGGACTCCATCTCAATGTCGGCCATCCTAAACATCACACACACTGCTGGAATTCATCCACCTGACACCAGTGATAGTCTGGATGCACGAAATGTCAGAAATGTCTCTTTCTTCTACCAAGGCTGTGAGCTGTGGGCAGTACGCCTCGGCCCATGGAAAGCACATTTCTTTACAAATCCCAAACCAAAGTTCCCTCTGCCTGACACGGGAGATAATATGCAAGAAGACGAGACATATTCCTTCTCGTTGGCCGACCAATACGAAACTTTGTCCGTGGGCCGTACTCCGCATAGTCCACCGCTGCTATTTAACCTTGAAAATGACCCATCCGAAGACTACCCACTAGCTGGATATGATGATGTCATCAAGCAAATAGAAGCAGCTGTTACTGATCACAAATCTAAACTGGTTCCTGGCAAAGCTCAACTTCCATTTCGTGATCCTTCAACTAGATTATGCTGTAGCGAAACGGTTACTCCGCCGTGTTTCTGTAACAAATAGTCCCCATCAATGCAAATGTCCATTATTATATATTACTGCAGATTGAGTATTGCTGCATAATAGAATTCCAGTGTTACAGACGTGCAGTCTTTTATAAGAAACTGGAGACTCATATCTCTATGCAAACATGTGAGGTGAAAAGTGGTCACACAGTGTCTCTAATTCATTCTTTGTGGACTGTCCCAATTCTCACGTAGAGGGATATGATAGGTTTCAGATCTGATGAAGAATCACACTTCATCTACAGTAGAGTCACACGCCGAAGAATGTGGAGCCCAAGAACATCCAGCCTGAAATCGGGTAAGAACACCACAGCCTAAAGTTCAGAACAGCGGCGTTGGCTTTCTGGTAGAATTTGGGATACATGTGATCCAGTGCAAATTGCTTCTAAGGAAATGCTTTTTAATGCAGCCAGATTGCCGAAAAATAAGAGCGCCCCAGGGTTAACCCCTAGGAACCAACGCTCTTCGGCGCATGACGCTACTGTGTTAGTCTTCAGCATATTACACTCACTGAGTGGACTAGGACTCCTAGATCCTTCAAGACGGCCTTTATTCTGCACTGGATACACGAAAATAAAGAAAAGAGCGATAATTATCACTATCATTGCCTTGTACCAAGTGTACAGTCATACACCAAGATGAAACCACATCAGCTTTTTTTGTGGAAATCAGCTCTATTGTTGTCATGGCTGGGACGGGTACCATTGAAACTAGGGCTCAAACGGCAACCGGTTACGAAGAATTAACGGTTAACCGATAAAGATAACGGTTGCGCAGTAACTTTTCAGTTAATTTGTCAAGTATCAGGTCGTTGCAAAGTATGCACTTTCGCAGGCTGTCGCACGCGTACGATATTTCTGGGCTGTCAACTCGGTCATATCTGGTCTTTTGGTGTGAGAGTATGTATGAATGAGCATGCAAGAGAATGTACATGTGTGCGTTGTACTGAATAGGGTACATTTTTTGAATGAGTATAGTCAAATATACGGTTAAAAAAGAGTCCGCAGGATTGCCGTGGCTTATAGGTTATAACCGTTAAACCGACCGCTAGCTTAGCAGTTAACCGTTAGGGGTAAAACCGTGACCGTTTGAGCCCTAATTGAAACCCTGTGACTCCACACCGCGTCTTGCTAGTCTCGGATGTGGTCAGACATAAAAACAATTACCGGTAGTTTTACCGTGAAAGCGTAGCACTGATCGGCTATAGCCTAGCCCTAGCTAGGGCAGCCGTGCGAATTTAAATCCAAATGTAGCCTTGAAGTTCAGAAATCCAGCAAAGTCGGAATACTTACGCCGGCAAGAGTAGAGAGTACAGACAGTGAACTCCGGAACAAGGTTACAGCACAGGACCTGACGGAAGCCATGTTTTATTCCGTAGCAAGAGAAGTTCTTCTCCGCTGTGTTCAGGAATAATCTGTCCCTGCGGGAATTTGCGGAAAAAACTCCCGAAAACTTGCGCAAGAAATTGCGGCAGAAAGTAACAAAAAATGCGACGAAATGTGCGGAATGATGCAGAACTTGCCAGGAATTCACGGAATTATTTGCAGAAAATTGCGGATTTGAGCCAAATCACGAAATTTGATGCATCGTATATCTACTGTGCAAATAACCTACAGGATCATGGAAAGAACTGCGTGAAAAGTGCATAACAATGTGAGATGTAGTGCAACAAAAAAACGCGGGAAATCGCGGATTTTGCTGAAAATCGCGGGTTTGGGCCAAAATCGCGAAATTTGTTGCATCCGTGGAATCGCGATTTCCTGGAGGGACAGAATAATATAGATATAGAATGATAAATGACCAAAGCATCTGTACGCATTGTGAATATCCCCACTACAGTAGAGTCGCGCGCCCAAGAACGTTGTTTCCAACGGGTTAGCCTGGGACGTTCTTATTTTTCAGCAATCTGGCTGCGTTCTTATAGCACGTTCTTAGAAACAATCCGTACTGGATCATAATATGTATCCCACAAGCTTCCAGAAAGCCAACACCGCCGTTCTTAGCTTTAGGCTGTGGCGTTCTTAGAATTTCAGGCTGGACGTTCTTGGGCTCCACGTTCTTCGGCGCGCGACTCTACTGTATGTAGCATTACCGGTACCAAGAGTATTATAAGGTCCCAGGGCTAGGGGGGGGGTTATATACAGTACTCTTGGTATTGAGAAGTACTCACTACCGACCTACATGTACAATTGTAGTGTAGTGTGCATGCATTGGGCCACACTGCATGGTACCAAGAGTACAAGTACCGGTAAGACTGGGTGCCCTCTTGGAGGTACGCAACTTACACAGCCATACACATAATCATTCACACATTCATCTGCAATGGTGATTTTGCATGCAAAAGCCGTAGTGTCTTCTACTAAAGCCCATCTCATTATAGAATACTGGTTCTCAAGACACACTGCCGGCGTATAAGCCTGGTTTTAGTGTTGCCATACCTAAAAATACCTGTCTTGTATAAGCCTCTCTCCTCTCTCATATAAGCCTGCAAATTTCCCCTCAAAAAGTCATACCGTATGTCCGCACCTTTAAAGCCATGGCGGTATATGTATATAATAAATGTAGAGCCGAAGGATTTATTGCGATTACATACCAGTATAAAAACCGAGGTCCCCGAGGTTTTTATAACTGGTATCAAGAGTCCATAACCGTTAACCCCCCAGAGTGTGCAACTCGTGATCCTTCTCAGCACAAATCAGTGCCGCAACGAAATCCAAACTTCATACATCATGTAGTGAGTAGCGGATGTACCAGATATGCACATGGCCCCATCCGCCCATGCTTGACTATGGACCGGATGACGCAATGTTTGGATTTCGTTGCGCCAGACCCCAACCTGGAGTTTCACACTCTGGGGGGTTATGGACTCTTGCTGGTATGTAATTGCAATAAATCCTGAGGCTACTACATTTATTATACATATGTTGACCTTCACTTTCCCTAAAAAGGAGTATTTTATAAACAGTATTTATTGGCCTTAAGCGGGATTCACAGAAGCTTTTTTGCGATGCGACACGCGATGCGACGGATGCGTGCGATGCGAACTCGCGAAATACCATTCACAGAAGAAGTCAGTGATGCGACAACATCTTGCTGATTTGGCTACGTCACCATGATATTTGCGCGGTTTGATACAACTTGTACAAATTTATAGGCAACTCTTGAACCTTTGTACAACTTTGCTGTAGAAAAGGTCAAAATTGTACGCCAAATCGCTTGTCGCATCGCATCGCAAAAGTTGAGCCAAGCTCAACTTCTGCGATGGCCTACACACACAGTGCATTTCAAAACTATAGACGCGTAGGGTTTTTGAAATATTTCAAATTTGGCTGGAACTTTTTGAGAATAGTTTTCGGAATATTGCTCAGGATCGCTCCACAATTACTCTCATATAGTTTCTAAAGGATTGGATAACAGACGCCCAATTTGGAAAAAATTATGCACAAAGTGATCACAGATTTTATGTGGTATAGATGCTGGCATAACGGTTTTTGCCTAGGTACGCGTCTATAGTTTTGAAATGGACTGTAGCTAGTTGCGGCAGTTGCGTGGGGTGCGACAAGGCTGCGATTTGGGGTTTTCCCGGTTTCGCATCGCGTGTCGCATCGCAAAAAAGCTTCTGTGAATCCCGCTTTAGTGGTATTTTATAAACAGTATTAAATTTTATTGGCCCAAAAGCCAATAAATACTGTTTATAAAATACCACTAGGCCAATACCGTATTATCTCTAATATAAGCACGGTCCTTTATTTTTTCAATGTACCTCCGACCCGTGCTATTAATGGAGACGTTCCTTTATTGGAGACTGTTCCATTATTATTTCAACCTCATTTCAGAGGCATGTTGCCATGCCAAATTCGTGTATCACACACACACATTTCAGGGTTTTTTTCGCTGGTACAGATAATGAATTTACACAGTGTGCTTATAATGGAGACTGAGCACTTTATTAGGGACCTTTCGCATTTGCTACGAAACGAATGCGAAACGAAAGTTTGATTCGGCTCGTAATCGTTTCGTTGAAAACAGATTTCAGGTTTCGCAAGTCGTCATGCAAATGTGCATGGCAACTACGAATACGGCCGCGGGCGCCGGTAGCTTGGCGTACGGGTTTTTACACGCACACGTGCATGGATCATGGAATCAAGGGAAAAATGTGTACATTGCAAAACATGTGTACCTACCCAAATAAAATGTGTACCTGACGGATTCGGAGCGTGCCACGAATGAAGAGGCTTCCATTCGTGAAAACGAGTTCTCCGCAGGGACTCTGACGAATCCTCGAACCCAGGTGACGAATCAGCATTCGTTTCGTATCCGTACGCGGGGTGCGAAAGGTCCCTATTTTTTGAATGCCGCCCCAAGGTGTTCTATTATTGGAGACGTGCTATTATTGGAGACTGTGCTTATATTAGAGATAATACGGTAAATACTGTTTATAAAATACTCCTTTTTAGGGAAAAGTGCAGTGCTGCATGGAAAAGTACAGTGGTATTTATTGAGTCAAGCAAATTTATTTGAATTTGATACTGTTGATGGTGTGGTCACTAATGAGTGTGGGTATTTATCAAAGGTCAATATATTCGATTATAAAGACAGTCTCAGTTATAAAACCATGGCTTCCAACTTCCAGCCCAGCAGAAATGAGAACAAGTGGATGTAGATTGAAATTTCAGTGTGTACTTTGACTTCTACAGCATGGCGTAGTGGGCGAGTCATTTTGCATCTAAAATAGCTAGGAAAGCAGTGGTGTTTCGAATATAAGGCCAAGGCTTTAAAGGCGCTGCTTTTATACACGACTTAACGGTATACCAAATCCAATACTCAAAGTGTTCCAGAGCCAATGTTCGGTCCACTACAATTGTAAGTAGCCAGTAGAGCACTGTCTTTCTCGGTAAACAATACACTTGAATACAGATATGTGTGGGTGCGTACATGCACTACAGTAGTTGGTAGACATCAATTCGGCTGTTGGTGACTTCACGCGCCGGGCTCAGTCTAGTCAGAGCACGCATTTCATCGACTCGAATTGGTGGATGCACGAAAAAAACACACTGACCAGGAGAATTGCTAACAGGCACAAGGTGTACCAGTGATGTGGGGAGCCAAACTTGTGCACAACAATACCCGACCAAAAACTTGGTGAGGATTAGAGATATAAATAAGTGCCAGCACAAGCAATGGTACAGCACAAGCCATGGACACATACAGCACAGGCGTACGAGACACAGCTTGACTGAGGTAATAGTTTTTTTTCAGAAAATGTTTTTTTTTTATGAATACCATCAGCTCATTATAGAAGTGAATTTTCATAAGAGTATATGACTGCAGTCAAGATAGAGCATTTTCGGCATTTTGCAGCTATGATGGGATGATGGGCTGATGGAAGCTGGGACCAGCAACAAGAAGACGCAATTTCAAGACGATACACGAATGAGATTAAAAAAGGGGGTTAAAACAAGATTAAAAAAGCAGTAGAATCAAGCATCCAGCGCAAGACAAAGTGTTAGCAGTAGCATTGCATACCCAGTGATACACTGGGTGCAGGTCAGCTGTACGCACACGATGAGGCAGAGCACATGACAGTACAGAGGCATAGGCCAGGCGCTAGAGCGCGACAATAAAATAACCGAGAGTGGGAGAGAGAGAGAGAGAGAGAGAGAGAGAGAGAGAGAGAGAGAGAGAGAGAGAGAGAGAGAGAGAGAGAGAGAGAGAGAGGAGGGCGAGTAGCGCAAATGCCAGACCTTACTCATATGCACACACACTCACTCTCAGGGAGAATCATATAAAATTAATGGTGAAGCTACAGTGTTCGAGAAGCGAATGCACGGGGTCGGGAGAGGATATCAAGGCTGCTTCGTACCAGACATTACCAGTGAAGCAGAAGGGTGGTACTTTCACAAGGACATGTAAGAATGAGCTCTTACCACAAGCTAGTGAAGGCAAATTTCTTCAATGATCACATGCACTATGGAGAGAAGCTATTCTCACAAAGTTATTCCAAATAGATGTAGGGTGCAGCTACTTGTGTGCCGTCGGCACTGTAAAGGCACTCTGTCCAACTTGTCCACTCGCCACCACCGTCCTGGCCTGACTGCCGACCATCAACACCATGCCATTGGCGAGAGGAAGCGGGCCCGTCTGGCCGGTCCACCGGCTGTTCTGGAGTGGGGACCGCATTTCCCGTTAGTGACTCGTGCAGCAGCGGCGGTTCTTGGGAACCGCCCGCCGCCGCAGCAGCAGCAGCACTGCGCTCTCTTAAGGATTGCATACAGTCAAGACTGCTGCTATCATCAGGGTCAGCAGTAGATGCGACACCAGCGGTGGCAGTAGCAGCACTACCATCATGATCTCTGGACCCTTCAGCAGCAGCACTAAATTCTGCTGCTGCTCGCCGCAGCAATGTCGTGGTCGTGTTGTTCGGAGCGAAAGGCATCCCATTCGGAGTGGATGCACGGGATGCACAATCCGACTTGACAAGTTTTTGCCACTTCTTAACTAATTGTTTGGCTCTTTTTGATAACTCCTCCGATGTGGTTTTCTTCCGTAATAGATTAACACAACGACCGAGACGGGTTACCTACGTCAATGAAGACACATGCGCGCACACGCACAAGCACAAACTTACTAATTGATGACCAAATATCCATACAGTACAAAAGAAAAATGGTTGGACAATTGACTTGGGCTGGCACCATTGAAACACTGCTTAGCACCTGTGCATACAGACTAGTGCGCATGGCGGTGCATTTAGGCTGGGAGAATTCATTTACTCCGATCCACGTGACAAAACAAGTCCAGTGAACAGTGTACCGACACACATTGTCAAAGCTAGAAGACCGTCGTCGTCACATGGCCGCAGTGCTCACGCACTGAATTCAATGACCGCATCCGCACACACCATCGGAAAATAACCCCGGTCTTGCTCTGGAATGATATGTGCTGGAGGCGACCAAGCCTCTCTGCTAGTGAATTGCATTGGGTGTCACCTACAACAAGCCTTCATTGCATGTACAATGCACATACCAGCTGCTGCAAGGTCCCATCGAAGGTGTTGCTACGACAAGTTTACTGCAGGATGGCAAGTGTACTGCGTAGGAAAGCTCATCGCCATGGCCATACTCGCTATTATAGCCAGTTGGAAAACATGTAGTACATGTGCCTAGCCATGGCGTGCACTTGGAGCAGCAGGATAGTGGTCCGAGTGATGGAAGCTACGACCAAGTTTGCAACAATGACAAAACGGGTTCGCAGCAGCTCCATAAGACAGCTTCAGTTGCCTCGAGGCATTTCACATGGCGAACAAAAATGTATACAATCACGACAATAACTGGAGAATAAAACCAAGCTCGATGAAGCCGGAGAATGAAAGGTGAATGTGAAAAAATCTGCTGACGACAATTAATTATTCGAAATTTTCAGTGAAAAGCTGAAGGATATGGCTGCTAGATCAACAATTCGAAAAGGAGCCGAGCCGAAAGCTAAAGAAATGATCAACAGCTTCCAAACTCTCACCTCTAATGTTTCCGGTGTAATAAACATATCGTCCAAAGTGGCAACAACTGCCAAAGCAGTGGCCGTGTCATGGACCTACACAAGAGGTCGTCAAGAAACATAGAAAACATGGCGGAAAACTAGGCCGTCAGAACCGGGGTACCACGACTCCTCTACCACATCAGCGGCACCTCCAAGATCCTTACAAAGCCATTGCCATCTAATGTATTCTCCAAACGCGTCCTCAGTTGTAGAGCAGCTTCCTGCATTGCATTGTAAATGGTCAAAATTTCCAGAACTCCACGACACCATCCATCGATGGCCCATGCAAGAGCACAATGTGATAACCATCTTGCTGAGAAAGAGAAGAAACAGTTTCCAGAGAACGTGCTATCGTTATATACCCCTATGACGTCATTTGTAGATAGCCATGGTGACTGTGGAGATCCATTATTATGATTGTGCTTGTCTCGATTTCGAAGACAAAAAAATTATTATGCTTGTGTTCAGGGATCGATAGGGAGTCGTCAAATACCAGGTATTTGACGACTCCCTGCTTGTGTTCTTTTCTCAAAAATGCAACAGTGCAGTATCAACATTACATTGCAGAATTGCATGATTGATTGCTTGTTGGATGGAGAACTAAATTTAAAATAATCGGCAGCTCTCCTATCCGAGAGGATGTTGGGGCGCGTGCCAGCCTTGGCCCGCTTCTGCAGCAGAGCGTATGCCACGGCACATCAAGTCACCGTCGTCGGGCCACAGACATTATCGGAAGATCTTCGAGCAGCCAAAGATATTAGTATGGTGCGGATTGTCCAAGTCTTTCGTTCTCGTAAAGAAGAGTTCACGCCTGGCCACTGCTTGGCAGCACTTGTAATGATGGACAGTGAGGCATCCGAGAGAGCGCACACAACTCGTGGATATGAATTTAATATGGAGGCCACAGCCAAATTGCCTGAGACGAGGCGTATGTTTGAAATCGCGGCTGAGAATGCAGACAAGCTTGAACCTCACATGTTTGGGAATCTGCTCATGATAGCACACGCTTTTGGCTTTGAGCAATACCACGAGACGGTGCCAGATTTATCCAGAGCTGCCAAGGAAAAGCTACCCCAACTAACTGAAGAGGCTCTGGAACAGATTTTGGATCAAATTGGACACGACAAGCAAAATTACTGGTCTACTTTGGTACAATCATACCTACCAGAGCGGCCTAAAGAGCCAAAGAAGCTGCCTGTTGCCAATGTCAAGGACACCGAGTTGGTGGAGCAACGGCAGCCTCTTCTCAAGCTTCTCAATGAAAAGAGAAGGGGCGAACTGAGCGATGATGACCTTGCCCGGCTTGCCGATACCAGCATATCACTGGGCGCCATCGATCCCAATGACTTGCACAGAATAGTTGCCGCTTACGCTAATGTGGGAGTGCGCAATGTGGACTTCCTGCGGCGGATATGTAACTTTGCTATAGACAGCTGGAGACAGCTGACCCTCGAGAACCTATGCAAACTGCGAGATGAGTTTGAACGGATAGGATTCCGTGACAAGACCTTTGTCGGACATTTGGTGCGGCGCATGCCGTATGACCCGGAAATAGCGGAGACCTACGAGACGGAGCGCGTGCACAGCCAGACCATGGCCATTTTGACGAAGATGGACAGACCCTGGTCGGAACCGCGCTGGGGCAAGCCCTACGGAGCACCTGAATGGGACTCGGGCATTGACAATCGCCACAATTTCTTCATGCTGCAGCGGAGACTTCGTCTTAGTGCACAGTTCAAGGAGGAGAATACTAGGCGTGTTAAACAGGGTCTGCCTCGCCTTCCACCGGATAGCATCCTGTGCCCATGGCTAGATGAGCGTATCTATGGTGGCAAGAAAAAGGCACCAGTCAAAACACCCAAGCACAAGCTCTTCTCAGGATTTCAACTTGAGTAACCTGGCGCTATGTCGCCCTGACAACTCTGGAGTTTGGCTCGTTAGACGATAATGTTCAACTTTACTGTGCAATGTGTGTGCGTTTGTGTGTGTGTGTGTGTGTGTGTGTGTGTGTGCGCGTGTGTGTGTACCCGTGCGCCTATTGTGGCTATAAGAGAAAAGCAATGCGTGTACCATTCAGTGCACGTCAAGATACTGTTTCACTTAGCGACGGGTGTTGTGATGCCTGGTACATGGTGTGTGTGTGTGTGCGTGTTCACTTCAAGGTACCAGTGCATCTAATGTCTGCCTCTATCCAAGCAGCATGCTGTATACTGGTTACCCCAGCAAGTGTAGGGTGTGCATAGGTAACTGTCTTGGCCGTCCTATTCCGATGTGCTCCGTGTGGTGTAGACCAGGTGTGCATTGGGGGTCGACTCACATGGCTTTGCCAGTTGTGTGGATTATGGAGTTACGTGGCCCTACATGTAGTCTTGATCTGTTTCATTCAGATCTCATTCGCTGTCGATGCTGGGAGAGTAAATTTGTGGGTGTACATCCAGCGTATGTCTTGTAGAGACTGATAATATGATGGTTCACTCTCCTAGCACTCTCTTGGTGGGTGCCAGGAGTTCACTATCCAGCATTTTCCTAATCAGAAGATCTCTCTCTCTCTCTCCCTCTCTCTCTCTCTCGGGGGGGGGGGGGGGGGGGGGGGCGGTGAGCACGCACCCTGAAACCACTGATGTGGCAGGCACAACAGTATGCCTTCAAGCAGCCGGGCCTGATGGCAACAAACCGAGCCACTGCTTAACTCGCAATGGGAAACTTTAATAGAAGCCATCTTTGGCATACACTCTTCACTAGCGCATAAGAAGACTATAGGTCTGTGGGAAACACGTACCCTAGTAAAATAAATATAATTATATTAATAATAAATTGAGTGTACCCCTCCTATACCTGCAATGACAGGCATAAAAGTGCATGTGCCGATACTAACTTAGTAGTACAGTAGGTGCACCCTCGCATATAAGCGCATGGGCTTATAAGCTAACACAACCCTGCGACACACTGATACTACCATGATACCCATGTTTTCAGATGTTAAACGCATGCGCCTAGATGTGAGACCAATCGATCTGCAAAATTACGAACATGGCAAATACTCGCGTGGGCTTAAATGTGGGTCATTTCAGTAGTGCCTCGCCTTGGCAATAGGATATTCCCACCCCCGATAGGCTTATGACCTTTGGAAAATCCTGAAATGAACATTTCATATTATTATTATTACAAGCTGCTCTTCCTGCTCAGTTGGGACTTCATTTGACCCATCCGGGCTGGGTCTAATAAATTGGTTCTCCGAGCCGGATACTTATTCTTTGGCCATACAATAGGGACCACTACAGCAGATATATTGCGGCTTTTCATGGTTGGGTGCATCCCAGTCTACCCTGAACCAGCTGGACCAGGTACAGCACCGTCCGAGCCCTAAGGCTAAAGCTCATCGGCCCAGGGTCATATCTCCCAAGCCTCACTGTTCGGCGTCAAGTCGCAGCACGAGTCAAATGCCTGTACAAGCTGCATTGGATTGACCGTCCCCCAATCCTGACCACTATGACACCTGACCGAGGGCAGTTGCTAACCAGCACCGGCGCTCCACTCGCCACCAGTACGAGGAGCAGCACCAGCACCAACTAGCACCGGTACTGCCCGCCGGAGCCCGTAATAGTGCTCTCCGATCACATACTGACCAACCACCACAATCACAATCCCTTGACAAGACATGTAGAATCCCTGGATTTCTCTCAAAATCCCTGGATGGCACAAAAACAAGTGAAAAAGAGTTTTCCCGCCAAAAAACGTTCGACTCTGCAGCTCTGCGCACAGCACAGTTCGACCCTGTAGTGCAGTTTGATCAGTCGGCGCCCGCTTGTCACTTTGTCAGTGCAGATCTTGCAGGCTAGGCATGGTAAGGTCTTGAAAGTGCTGTGCACAGTTCGAAGTGCGAATGAGCACCGTACATACCTTTAAGGTGGCAGTCTGGGTTCGCGGCCCGACCGCATGAACACAGCCGTAACTTCCATAATAATTGATGAATTTTGCTCAAATCTTGACCACATACCCAGTGTATTTCACTAAGTCCAATGAAGTATAAATCAAGCTCACACATGGGAATCCGCAGACACAATAGTCAAATCTGCGATTATGCCGTACCACCAATACCTTAGACGCAATATGCAAACGCAGAAAGAAGCTGGGTAGAAACTGAGTGCTCCACAGGATTTCCTTCACATATACCTAGGTGCTAAGTGGAGCGGAATTTTGAAATCATATTCAGAACAAAGTACTCAAGCTGTCAAACAAAAATCATGCAATCGCGCAAAATTTAGGTCCTCGATCAGTAGCACTTTACTCAAAGCTACTAGACAAATATAAAAATCCATGACACTTAGCACCTTGATAAATGCTCACAGTTTCCAAAAATGTATGGTTTATGGGGTCTGTGACTTACAGGTTCTTCGCTACGCTGTCTAAGAGGTACGGGACTCAGTGCAAAATGGAGAAAAAAAGTGCTCTGTGCAAGTACAGATGGAGGTATGTCTGTCCAACTAGAACTTACTAGAACTTAGTCGAAGCCACCAGCTTCATATGTCAAACCTTCTTCCTCTTGCTGCTCATCCTGGATGCCTTTCCTGATCCTCCTTCGCTTCTTTCGTGACCTCTTCCCTTCTTCTGACTTCTTTCTGGCAGCATGTGCCTGTCTCTCACGGTCTAGCAGCTTGATGAGACGTGTCGTATGGTGTCCAGTAGGGAGGCCCATCTCGTCCAGAACGCGTTTCACTGCCACACCTCCATCATTGAACCAGGCCACGGCCAGGTAGACGCACATCTGGACAGTGGGAGCGGATGCAAAGCCTGTCTTTGGACACAACTGCCACACGAGTCCATTGAACGCTTCGTTGCGATTCTGCGTAGCACCCTTCTGGCAGCGCTCGAGCAAACTCCGGTCGGACAACCGAATGTAGACCGGCTTCAGTTCCTTCCATACTGCCTCTGGCAGGATATTGTGGTGGGCGTAGACATCACCACCTGCCTGTTGCTGCTGCCATCTACACCAGCTGTTAATTCCAGGCGGACAATACTGGTGCTGAGGTTTACTGTCGCTGGATGCACGATGCATGAGGGATGCCCATATGGCCCTGGCCATGGCTTGCAAGTCTCCGCTGTTGTTCCGCACAGCCATGCCATAGTAGGCTTGCAGCTTGTCGATCATGGCATCCGTGAGGCGACCACGTCCGCCTATAGTGCGCCCATCAGCAAGCTTCTTGCCCGCAAGGTTTTTCTTCAGCTTTCTTAGGCTGGTACCGATGCGTTTTTGAACGTGGCCGACACATTCCTCCTTGACTACAGGCACCTCGGGCCCATACGGACAAGCGTCACGCACAGCCTTA